TAATATCAGCTTTAGCAATAAAAAATCCTCGGAGAGCACTCAACATAGTAACCCAGTTATTTATTATTTTTAATTCTGCAACTTACCGTGCTTTTGAAGGAAATACTGGTAATGGCTCACTATTTTCATTTTCCACCCTGAAAGCACTATTAAATTTCTTATTAACTACAATTATTTAAGAAGATAATTCTTAGTCTTTTTATAGGGCCTATGTTTTACTGTTAAACATGGTTCTTTCATAATCAGATAATAAAAACCAATTAAGGAGGATTAACCGATGAACATTAACATTGATGATCATATTTATGGGCATTGCCTACCCCAAAGGAAGACAGGTGTAATAGTATGTATGTTCATTCAATATTTAATATTCCGAACTTCAAATAATCATCGCAGATCAGAACGATGTGAGCCGTTTAAATATCATGCTAAATACTTCGATTTTTTAAAAGCACTTTTTAGAACCTGGTATATTTTTTACTCCATATTTTTGAGCTCCATTTTATTTGCACCACCTAACTTTGATCCCTAGACTGCAGTCCAAATGTACTATGTCGGATTTAAATCGTAGGTCTCGATGGACATTTTTATTCCCGACTTGATATTGGACAGCTGTACGCAAATAGGTACGGAACCCGCTTACCTCGGCTGAAATCTCCCTGCGGTTTATACATGAACAGATTTTTAATATTCCCAAGCTGGGAAGGTTACTTTTCTCTATTATACTTTTTTCATTTTTTGCACAATACTATAATGTCATCCTTTCGATCGTATATTATTACATTTCTACATACTATTATATTTTAATGATTTCGGATATTTTTTTCCTGTTCCATCCTCCTTTAGAAAGATACGGAAAAGTCCCTTACGAATTACAAACATTTTGCTGAATGTATGCAAAAATAGTTTGTACTTAAACAAAAATAGACATTGTTGGCTACAAGATTTTAATGACAACAGAGACATTCTATTATGCTTTTTGCTACCACGGTAAATAACTCTTGGCTACTATTTCCATTCATACTTCGCCAAAGACAATCAGAATCAGTACAATGAACGGAATGAGCTAGTCTTCTTTCGTTCCTAGCCTCAGGTACGACTTTGTGATGGAAATAGACTTCTAAAAGTACAAGAGAGGAATCCTTTGCTACATCCTGAAACCGCTATAAAACTGGTCTTAGAGGGGTAAATTGTTTTTGTGCCCTTAGGCGCTTTGCATCGTCTGGAAGCAAGCGGGGCCGGGAAATATTAAGCGGTTGCTATCCCCTTTAAGTGAACCTTACGACGCGACGGTGACGATGTAGCACTACGTAGCCAGTCTGTCTTTACTCGTTTTATACTGTTTGAAAAAAGTAATAAAAAATATACCATCATTTCAAAAAATCTTGAACTTCAATCGTAGTATTCTCAACGGTGCCGACGAAATTATTTCTTTTGGCATCAGCTGCAAAATTCCTTTATCGTAATAAAAATGGCACAAAAGGGAATACTTAAATTGTCTACAAAGAAATAAATGGATAATTTAAGTTGACTCGTCCGAGTACTTTATTGAGACAGAGCAACTTTTATGAGGGTATAAAATAAATCAATGTGACAAAACTGGTATAATCAACAATGATTAAATGTAGTTTTTGGAGAAAAATATACTATTCTATATTGAAAAGCCGTATCTGATTGGTGGATGATAAATAAACATTATGAAGATTGTTAAAAAACTCAAGAAAAACTTAAAGACGGCTCTAAGAGTATTGGGACCATATTTTGTGAGCGGTCCTCAATTACAACAGGTGCGCGAAGGGATTCAAGAAAGTACTTGAGGCGCAGATACTTTTATTTTTCTTTAAAAATATTCGGAAGACGGAATTGAGATTGGATTTATTTATATACAAGAATTACGAGTCTTAAGATTTACGAAGCAAAAAATATTGGAGCGAAATATTCGTTGGCTTGATAAAGTTGATAACTTCTGTCGACAAAATCCAAGATTACAGTGTCTGCGTAGCGGTATCTCAAGTCATTGCCTTACTTACGACTAAAATCTGGTCTTAATGTTGCCTTTTCAGCCTATTGTGTGCGCCGTGAAGGCTCAATTCATACTGGCTTTAACGGCTTTTAACAAACTCAAGAAACTAGAAGCTTTTAACCGGAGAGGAAGTGAATCGGAATTGTTGCATGTTAGGTAGGTCCGTGACGGTGGAAACTTGTAATATTTATGTACAACAGGATAAAGAAAATTCTATGTCTGAGACTTTATACTTGTTTACGTACATAATGCTTCAAGCGGTGCATAGGTAAGTCAGTTCAATCGTTTTTCATTATTTGGTTTTTCACAAGACTGGTTACACATTTATTACTTTAATACTGTATTGATATTTTCCCTCTGTGATTTTGTGAGGTGATCAAAAGAGCTCCTACGCGATACCTATTGCAACAAGTTGTATTAGTGTGACAATTTAAATTAATACATAGCAAGATGCTTGAGTAACTTAATTAGAGTCACATTTTATATACTCAACATCTATGTGACTCTTTCAAGAAAAATTACATAATATGATATTACCCTCCACAAAAATGCATATCAAACATTAAACGCACAATACACGATGCAATATTCAAATGGATCTAACAATTCCATTTCGAAACCCATCTTTCACAGAGACGCGAGCATCAGCAATTTCAAACGTTATATTTTAAGTTTTCTCAGCCGGGACAAACAATATTATGGGTACCTTTCCCAGTAATCTCATCTGCTACGCCGTCGGTAAGGCGGGCACATTGTTCCACCTTTATCTCAGGTAAATTACGTTTGGGCTCAGATATTCCTTGCCGCCTGTCTTTTGTTTTGTCCTTGTGTAATTGCAGTTTCATTTTAAAATCTTTATGTTAATTGATTGTTTTGATTTTATTATTGTAAATTGTTTTTATTGCGTTAATTTTGCATTGCATTTCTTTATGGGATAAGCTGGTAAACGAGCAGACGGATCACCTGATGGTTTAAGTAATCAGCGTCACCAATGGACACCTAGAACACCAGATGCGTTCCAAATGTGTTACCGGCTTATTTGGAATTAAAAATTTGAAGATTGTTGCGGATTCAGGGATTGGAGAGTGGGGGCGATAACTTCACTCATGCCACAAAACACAACGCAAGCGTTGTTTCACGTCGTTTTCTGTGAGGCCACGATATCACTCCGGTCAAGCCGCCGCATTCGTGTTGAGGCACGGCTTTCCCCACTATCTTTTTGTTCTTGATATGGATTTTGGACTAAATTAATTATAGGACACAGTTGAGTATATAATTTCTCAATGTAATAAGTATTTAACATTTGGTGTACCATTGCATTGATAGGTACATTTAATTGTATTAAGTTGTTGTACCTGTATCAAATCTTTCTTGATATTCCCAGCGTAAAATCGCTAGCAACTTAACTCAATACAGCTCCGTAACTTAACAATTTTCTATAAAACCCAAGCTGATACACTGTAACCTGGTTCACTAAACATTTTGTAGACATTTTACCCTACACCGTCGGCATCCAATAATATTCAAGGATAGCGTCCTGTGGTTTCTATGCGAATAAACTTAAAATTTAATTAAATCAGGAGCTGTTTCCTTCTACGTCCACCCGTCAGCGATGATGTTTGTAGTCTGAGCAAATAGCGGTTGAGGCAAAGACAATTTTGCTTGGAACCTTACTCGGCTGAGTAATATCTTGATAGTGTTTTGAAATAGATGTAGACGTTGTTGGAGAAATTTTGAATAGGTATGTGTTCATTTTCATTGAATCAGGAAATGAAGTATATAAAAAATAGCATGGAATTATTGTGTCTGATTATGATCTTTTTTTAGTTTATCGATTGCTGAAAAGTAATTATAGGTGATTATATTATGCATTTATTATACCTTTATCATATTATGCTTTATTTAATGTACTCTTACATATAATAAATAATTTAATATCATTAAAAAGGATATTAATACAGGTATCTAAAAATAAAACTCATTACCAACCTTCATTAGAAACGGACAAGTAATTTGACACTCGCTAATCAAAACATATGACCCGTACCTTTTTGGGGGAATCCTAAAAAACTATCAGAATAATAGATGAAAATGTGGGCAGTCTGTAATAGGTAACCCGATATTTATTAAGTCAGCAATTAGTGAATAAACAGAGGTTCTCTGGGCATTTAATTTCTGGTCCGCAGGGGTTTAATTAAGAGCACGCTGGGGCAAACGATAAATTAATGTGGAACAGGATTTTTGAGACACTCCTCTATTTCTTTTGTGGCCTATTTAGTGGCACACGCTAAGAATAGTAGTATTTTCTAGCGCGAATTTTCTTAGAAGAAAGACTTTTTGGTTCTAATAGGGTAGATGCCTAATTTTTATTTTAATGTCCGTCTGGTAGATTATTTTAAATCATTAGACACGTATTTTTTATTTTCTTACAGAAACGAATACTTTCGGCGATATATTGATTTGAAATGTCGCGTGACGTCACTCCTATGTACATTTTATACGTAGAAATGATGTTTTAGCCCCCACTCCTAAACTTTAATTCGTTTTATCTATTATTTTATTATACAACAAAATAAAAAAATACGTGTCTAAAGTTTTTTCATTACCTAACTTACGGACTAAATATTTTTTTTAATTTTCATACCCTGTCATCATCCCAATATTGTTTCTAATAAACATTTTTCTCAGATGACTGTGTAAGAGGAATTCGTAGAGAGTATTGTGAAACAGCCTTTTCGGGTGTCATCACGGTGTCATTTATCCAGTTGTTAGTGAATCAGGGTGTCATGTAAGATAAGTAATTAAAAACTTGACACTTAAGGAAAAGGATCTAATTATCACTGTGATTGCGCATTACCAGTAGTCAAAAGACCACCATAACAAGTCTAAAGCACAAAAAATAAACCAAAATCACATTCCCTCAATTTATTTCTTTTACAAACGATCTTACGAACATTTACTCAAATGTAGTCTTTATTCACTCCGGCAACAGTTCATCATACGGCACTTGTTCCAACAATACAGACAAATTCTCCACAACCGCCGTACTAAGGGATTGACAGATGGATGGTCCTACTTCTGCGACAATTTCACGCCACATTTCATTCAGGATCCTGTTGATTTGGTCACCTGGAAAGTACAGACGAATGAATTCATTGGGTATGTCTTAGAAACTGTGAAATTACATAGCTCTATAGAAATATTTTCTTCTTGGTCAAAGCCTATCATTTGGAGTCTTGTTTCTTCAGTGATCTGCTCCAGAGCTAATCTATTCAAGGTATTATAGAGGTCTCTCTTTGTATTTGATCATCCGGTCTAATATAGTGAGTGGTCAGTTATATTGTCTATTCAATTTTAACAAGTTGTTTGATCTTTAGTACCTACAAGCTCTGTAAAATATCTTTCCATATAGATTAAACCTTCTTAGTTATAATGGACGAAAAATATCATACACATAATTACATAGAAACGTCTTATCGAAGTATTCTTACGCTTACAATAAAGTTCTGAGAAGCTACTTAATTCTTATTTGGAGTTAAATTTAATACAGTTTGAGCTTGTGTCATAAGATAGGTACAGATACAAACGCCAACTACATTTCCCTTGTGATACAGGATTGTCCTAGTGCAGGCATCTAACTTTATGAGATCAATTTTACTTACTTAAGACATATTTGTAATTTGCATTTTTGAATTATGAATAAATTTTATTATTTATTACATTAGTTTCTCGTCAAAATAACGTGAGTAAGAAAAACAGTAATAAATTATATCTCATGAAAGTTATAATATAATATAAAATAACTACTACTATTATGCCCCAATACTGAAACGCTACGCATATTTAAGTTTACGGTCAAGTATAGTTCTGTCTCTACAAATTCTTTAAAAAATGACAGAGATAGCACTATATTTAAGTACAGCTTTAAATTTAGTAGCCTTTCAGTATTCGGGCGTTAGTATACAAAAACTTTGAAGTTAAGAAACATTTATGTACGGTATTGAATAACATCGTAATCCGATTTAAAGACTTAGCACGTCACTTTTTGCTGTTAACATTTATTTATAAAAATGAGCTCGTAAGTACTTTTAGTCAAGGTTGAATTTGCAATTCATTAATATTCAATGACACAAATGACAAATTACCCTTTTGGCATAAGAGTTAACCTCATTTCTAAAAATAGCATTTGATATATACCATGTTTATGTGTACCCTACGCATTGATTTGAAGTATAGCCAATCATCTAAATTCACGGACAGAAAAACATACAATTCGTTCACCCATTACCTAAACTTTTTCGTCATAAATTATTATATTTTATTGTTATCGTTTGGTGAAATGCTTCCGTGGCGATCAATAAAAAATTTTGCCAGTTTTTGTGTTGTTAAGCCTCAGGATACCTAGTGAACCTTTGCCATTTTTTATACTTCGTTATTCTATTAGGAACAAATAAATGGAATTTCTTCACACTATAATATATATTCGGTTAAACTAAATGTTTCGTCTGCTTCATTGGCCGAGTGGTCGCAAGTGCAACTGCCGGGCAAGGGGTCTCGGGCTCGATTGCGGTCGGGCAAGTTTTACTGGGTTTTTGAAATGAACTTCAGTAGTAGCACGGAGTCTAGAAATGTGCCCGGTATATGGCAATAGGCTCACCCCTTGTTACATGGGACTCATAACATAATACCTCTAGTATATACGTATAGTGAAAAGTGAGTGTTACATTGTACAGTGACATTAAGTGTCGTAATGTGCACCTCTGCCTACCTCTTCGGGGATAAAAGGCGTGAAGTTATGTTAAATGTTTCGTTTACGAACACAGTTTAGAGCCAAAGCGGTTAGTCAAACAGTGTATTACATTTTAATAGAGTTTACTCAAGCATTTTACAAGTAATTTATTTCATCCAAAAGCTATTACGCTTTTAATTTAGTGTATTATCTTTTGAGCACGAAATATTATTTCATGTAGTAGATAGTAGATATACCTTGAAGTTGACATCATATTGGAAACTAACTTTATCTTTATCTTCGTCCATGTGAAATAATAACAAAATTGGAAGTACATTCATGCAGTGCTTTTTGAGCTTATCCCGGACATAAAACTACACAGACAAACATTTTAACTAACATTTTTTAGCTTCGATGTCGAATACAGATCACGCCGCAAGTATTCTTTTAAAAAAAAATTTAATGTACTAATTGACTTTTCTACAATTTTATTATGTACTAGCTTCTGCCAGCTACTTCGCCGGCGATCCCAAGTGTAAAATGCCTATGTAGGTATTACTTCAGACTATAGTCTGCCTTTTTTTCTAAATATAATTCTGGTCCCATCGGTCGTTTTAATATGACTGAGTAACAAACATACACATCAACTGACATATTTCACATTTTTTTTATTGAATAGGTAATCATGCTACCTTTTTTTAATTATGGATGAGTGGGAGTATTGTAAACGTAAGAGTAAACAAATACAAGCAAAAAGCTCTGAACTGCTATCGGGAGTTACACGTGTTATTGTGAGTCAACTATAAAATATAGACATACGATGTTGTGGGATATTTTTTAAGTATTTTTTATAACATGATTTATATGTAGCTTTATCCATTATGGTTGCAGACGCGACTTAATTATATCATAATTATATCATTGTTGGGTTTTATAAAATGCCTTATTAATCAGTGAAGTATAGTTTACTTACCTAAAGTAGGATCATTCAAGAGGTTTTCCAATCTAAATGACGCCTTCTCCACTTCATATTTAATGTCGTGCTTGTATATTTTCCAGTGAATTTTTCCATCAGCACCTTCCACATGCTCGTACCAAAAACGGATATGTAACAATGTATTTTCTAAAAATTTATAAAAATATCATTAGACTAGCTACTTCCGCGCGGTTTCACACGCTCTGCTCAGCTCCTATTAGTCGTAGCGTGATGTTTTATAGCCTATAGCCATCCTCGATAAATGCGCTATCCAGCACAAAAAGAATTATTCAAATCAGACTTGTAGTTACGGAGATTAGCGCGTTCACACAAACAAACAAAAAAACAAACTCTTCCGCTTTATATAATAGTATAAGATTGTATGTACGAGTAATTAGGCATCATAAACACGAGATAATCACGAATTTAAGATTATTTTCTTTTATTGAGTATTTTAAGGACTCTAACCAGAAAATCTCGGGCTAAGAGCGCCCACTGCTGAGCAAAGCCTCTTCTTACATGGAGAAGGTTTGAACATTAATCACCACGCTTGCTCATTGCAAGTTGGCGATTACAAACTTGTAGTTACAAGTTATAAGCCCAGGTTTCCTCACGATGTTTTCCTTGACTGTTTGTCAGTGGTATCTAAATAATCTTAGAACGTACATATAACTCGGAAACAGTCACATTGGTACTTGCCGTTGTTAGGTTTCAAACCCTTATGCATGAAACCAGGCGTCTTAAACCTCTGGTCCACCACGACACTATTTGCTTTCTTTGGTCAGTATTAAATACTCACTGTGGTAGCTCATTACAGAGTGACTTAATTAGATTCTCAGTAGTAGCACGGAGTCTGGAATTGTGCCCGGTATATGGCAATAGGCTCACCCCCTATTACATGGGACTCATAACATAAATAGTGAAAAGTGGGTGTTACATTGTACAGTGGTATAATGTGCATCTCTGCCTACCCCTTCGGGGGTAAAAGGCGTGATGTCATGTTATGTTATGTTAATTAGAAAATAATTATGTATAATGAAATGATACTTACTCAAATGTATAGCGGAGTCTCCATTTGACTTCACTGGTATGAGAAGAACTTTGCCGCTTAAGTCATAAGTATTCTTCACATCCAAGGTGACCAAAGCGTCCGTGAGTATCATTTTGTTCTCTAAATCAAATCTAAAACAAAAACATAATGTGTTATCGAAATGTGATATGTTACTATTTTTATAGGGTCAAAAAACTTAGGTAGATCAAAATGTTTCGCAGAAAATTCATGGTTTCTTTTTGCTAATGACATACCGATATACCTAAGTAGGTTTATGTTTGACAAAAACTTTAAAATACTATACTAATCGGTTTAAAATTGTAATATAACTAATAAAAAATTTATCCTTGACTGAGCTGGTGCTGTGGCTGGGCAACCGGTTGCCGTGTAGCGTGTCGCGGATTCGATTCCCGCACAGAACAACACTTTATGTGATCCACAATTTGTTGTTTCGGGTCTGGGTGTCATTGTGTATGTGAACTTGTATGTTTGTAAATGCACCCTCGAAACAGGAGAAAATCCTAATGTGAGGCAACGTTTGTTTTAAAAATATATGAAAAAACCATGCCAACATGAATGCGTCGGCTCAACCGGAGTGATACCACGGCCTCAGCGAAAACGAACGTGAAACAACGCTTGCGTTGTATTTCGTCGGTGAGTGAGGCTCAATTACCCCCCCCCCCCTCCATTACCTCTTTCCCCCTAATCCCTGAATCTCCAAAAATTGACAAATTCCTAATTCCTGAAGTCCTCTGGTGTTACGGGTGTCCATGGGCGACGCTGATTGCTTACCGATGATCAATCTACTCATTTGCCGGCTTATCACATAAAAAACAAATACTTATACCATTATTTCCACGATTTCTTGATGTAAACGTTGATGTGAAATAAAAGTATTTTAATCGTTTTATGAACACGATGAACATGTGCCATAAACAATTTTTGCTATTAAAAGATTGAATTGAATTAAAGCATTGCAAGCAATCATGGAAATATTTTTATATTAGTAAACGGGTAAACTTACTAAAAATTAAATAGTAGTTAGACAACACCAAATTATATTCATAGCCTGACCTTTTTATCCTTTCGAAAATACCTACTCATTCCGAAATCACGATTGAGAACGTTCACGCATTTTTAATCTAAGTTCTTAAGTCCGGACAAGAAAACTTAGAGAACAAAGCTCAAATGTAATGAATATGCAAAAATGTATTTGCATCCATTTAACGAAGCCGGATAGCAAGTTTGAATCAAATTTCGCTCGATCATTGCGCGGTTTTTCACACCATTACTCCTTTTGTTCCCGATGAATCATCGTCTGAGCCTAATTATTACATCGGACCCTTTAAGTTAAGGCGCCTTCATAATATTATTCGTAATTAAAAGGCGCGAAGCTAATTGTCCGTGAGTCATGCCGTCGTCGTTTGTAAGGCGCATAGTTCATTATGAATTTATGTTAGGTACTGCTCGCCGAATACGTTTTTTTAATGAATTTAGTAATTGGCAAAATCTGATTTGAATTTTCTTAAGTGATACCTATCGTGCATTTCTAATAAGTAATATTAAACTAATAATCTAAACCACCGGGTGACTCACGGGAGATAATGAGAAAAGCTCTACTAGTTTCGAATCACAGAGGGACTCTTCATCATGAGCAGAGTGCGCGGACGTGCGCTTTTAGAGGTTTTCTCATTTTATAACTATTTTACCAGTTTTGTAATTAATTTAGTATGTCTCACGATAGTTTTTTTTTAAATACGTAATATTTTTAGTAGTTTATCATCAACAGCCTATAAAGTGCCCGCTACCGACCGAAGACAAGAAATCTTACACGAATTTCAACCATTTGTTTGATATCTAAAATCCTATTTAACATTTTAATTCTGTAATTAACTGCAGCCACAACAATTTTATTTCTTACCTTTTTAAGACAGGAAAATATCCCTTCCAACATAATTTTAATTGTAGACTAGGACAGAGACAAGATAAAACAATTAACGAATTAAAAAATTAAGCTGACGTAATTGAATTTGTTAATGTCGACTTTGTCCTCGGAAAGCCCCTGAGTAATTCGAGGAAAAGTCATATTTGCTAATAATTATGCCTTTTTAATTACAATTTCAGTATAAGTATTATCCAAATCGTTAAAAAAAAGCAGACAAAGTCTCTTGAAACAATAACTGTGGTACTAGCAGCTGTAGCCAAATGCCATTTAGCGCTTGTCTACACGTAGAATAGAAAAGCAAATTATATGGAATTGACGTAAATTTTGACACTTGTCAGTATCATCCGCTAAATGATACCATCCGCTAAGGCATTTGGCTACAGCTGCTGGTGACTTCGACTTATACGCAGAATACACAAACATTAATACGAAGGATATCTGTCGTGTGGCATGTCCCGTCATTACACTTCATACATTACGGTGTTGCAAGTACACGCACACAGGTAAATGCACCACTGATATTTTAGTACTTCAATCATTTCTAAGTGATATGGTATTATTATTATTTTTATTTACTCTTTATAATGTAGGCAAGTTTTAAAGGCTGATATTTTTGGTTCATTATGGTGCAGTACGTAAATTATTTTGTTGAAATAACGCTCCATTATAATATTAAACAGATCTTAAAATAATATGTCTGTTTCAATAAAATATTTATAATTTTAACTATCATTCATTTCATATTTAATTAAAAACTAAATAAAGAGTACCGACATTCGAAAAGTGAACAAATAAACAAAACTGAATTGTGTGCTCATTCATCAGTTAATTAATATTATCATATCATTACATTTTTATTAACTTTAAAGAATGCTGAAAATAAATGATGAATCAAAATACTTGGTAATTTTAATGAAATAATACTGATATTTTAAAGTAATGTAATTAATTGTTTAATTTTAATACATTATTATTGTTATCATATTTCACAATTTCATTTTTCATCACAAATATTGCAATATTATTTTCTTATTGTCATTGGTAGAGTCGAGATATAGGTACAGTGTACGGTCAGCAACGAATATATTGTGACCGACGTAGTGATGAATGTAGACTGCACGGGTCGCGCGCGCTAGCTGGGCAACTGGCTGCTTCGCAACGTGCCGTGGATTCGATTCCTGCACGCAACATTTCTCTGTGTGATTTACAGATTGTTGTTTCGGGTCTGGGTGTCATGTGTATGTAAACTTGTATACACATGACGACGAGGTCTATAAATTATGATGTATATATATTAATGAAACAATTTTTTTGTGGGATAAACCGGGAAATGAGCAGAAGGATCGCCTGATGGTAAGCAATCGACGTTGTCCATGGACACCCAAAACACCAGGGCCGTTACAAGTGCGTTACTGGCTCCTGCAGTAATTCACCGGGGGAAGTGGAAACAAGCGTCTTTTTCTTCTCTTCTTATAATATCTTCTGATTCACTTCGTTGCGGGAACCTAGAGAGTTATTCATGTCCTTGGGACTTCAGTGTTCCGGTGTTTTCATGGTTGCATCTACTGTAGCGGCTGGCTTACAGGAGTTGCAGCGGTTTTGGGAGGGTGCGATGGGCTTGTCCCATAAAAAAAACGTGCGTTACTCGACTTTCGGGGATTTGGACTTTGAGAATTGTTGGGGATTCAGGGATTGGAGAAATTGGGGTAGGGGGGTATAATTGGGCCTCCGGTAACCTACCTCACACTATGAAATACAACGCAAGCGTTGTTTCACGTCGGTTTTCTGTGACGCTGTTCTGTTCTGTTAATTCTACATAGTAATCAAAACACTACAACATTAATGTAACATGATATCTTCACAATTTAGTACACAACTTGTCCCACTATTGTGACATTCAACCGACTAATGTATGTTGTGAAATGTTGGATTTCATCTTCCTCATATCACTTTGATATATGGATATATTCAAAACCATTTCTCGGATACTTATCTGGTCAATTACCTCGTAGGCTTTTCATATCAGGAAGCATTTGTCACAAATGTTATGATATACATCTTATTATGTTTGAAATATTTGTCCTAGATCCGTACATCGTATTTATTTGAATATTTTTATGACTGTCTTTATAAATATAAATATGTCTTTAGTGTTTACTTATGTAGATTTTGTGTACCAATTAACATTTTGAATCTTTTCTATTTTGTAGTAATACTTAACTACATGTCATTCACCTCTGGCCTTTTTCACTTTTTTACTTTTATGCTATGAACTCCATGTTGCTCATGAGCTCATGATTCATACAATATCAAGCCAATCTTTTTGCTCTTTTATTTAAAAAAAATTGGAATATCGTAAAATCTTTATGATGCTTTGACCGATCTGGAGAACACGTAAAACTCCTTGATCAACGAGTGATGTACGACCTAATTATTTTATTCAAATACGCCTTTACAAAAATCTTAATGCATAAAAAGGGTCATGATTATGTTAATGATTGATTGAATACCGTAACAATTAATCGAGTTTACAGAATTCCACCAAAATTGATGCTAAATTGAATTTAAAGCTTAATTATTTTGGTGCAGAACATTTTAATAGGCCCTTAATTGGTTGTTTGGTATTTGGACAAACGGTCATAACCTGGTAATTAATTATATTGCGTAAAGATTATTACTAACCATTTCACAGTAAATAATAGTAAACAGTATTTGTGAAATTAATTTTCTGTTTGCACTATTATAATGTGTTGACTTTATATTTTACAGCAGAATACAATGTCTTTTATTTTCACATTAAGTTGATCACACAATTAACAGTGAATGGCAAACATAAATTATTAAGTACCATTTTACTCATTTATAGTTGGCTGTGCAGAGAAATAAAGCAGTTCGGCCCAAAATTGTACGATTGCGAAATAAAGCTTACATCTATTAACACAGTCACCTACCCCGTAAATAGTACAAAAAAACTTCCATTACCAAAAAGGAAATACTTACTTCAAATTTTCCAAATGCAATTTTGATAGTCCTGTGAAGTAGTTGTCCTTGAAAGTGACCTTGAATCCTTGTTTATTTGGTATGTATACTGTCATCTCTGCTACATACAATGGGTCTAAGGGTTGAAGGCCTCTCTCTGCATCTCCTTGAGAAAACTGGTGCAAAGAATCTCGAGCCGATTTTAAGGCACAGTCATTTAGATTCGGATCATTTCTTGAACATGAGGATATGTAGGAAGCTAAAACAAGTACATTGTTATCATCATCAGCCGGTTTCTGTCTACTACTGGACTAGTATATCAGATCGATCATCAATTCTTTACATCATCGCTCTATTTAGATGTAGGACAACCAAATGCAGTAAGGACACTTCGGGCGTCGGAGATCGCGGGATGATCTCCAGCCACCGTAAGCGCGGGCCTGCTAACGGCGAGCATGGGTGGCTCGCCGCCCGACCAGAACCAGACCCGTGCGTACGGCGCGTTGTGTGCCGCGTGCGCTATGGAGCCGCGGAGGACTTAACGAGTTGCCGGGGCTCCGGCTCGAAATGCAGGAGTAGAAACGGGGTGGTTTTTAGTCAGTAAGAGTCTTACACTCCCTTCCGCCTCACCCAGTTGGGAGAAGTGATTCGATGATTTTCCAGAGACAACAAAGGTTAACCTGGGAATTTTTTGTCAGTTTCATTTCAATTTCGTCTTTTATTTTTACCATAGCAACATGTTGCGTCCCTAAATTAGTATAACTTGTATGTCATACAGGTGTAACATTAGTAATAACATCAAAATAAAAAATGATACCTGCATCCAAATGATTTTTAAATGTTTTATTTCTATAAAAAATAACGATTCAAAAAAGGAAATACCTATAATAATATGGTCAAAAACCTCATTAGTTTTGTGTCTCAATGACCTGTCCATTTCTGAAGAACTGGTTAGGCTATGCTAGTTTGTTTTTGGAAGCAAAAAAACCAAAAGACAAAAATGTACACAAATTTTCTTAAGACATTTATAAATAACATCAATTAAAGATTGAATTTCAAAGTAAAACGAACGATACACAAGGCGACAAAAAAGTCCTGCGACAAGTGCCTTTGGTCGACATGTTTAACAACATCAACGTGGCTGGGCAAAGTCGACATATATGTGGCACAAATGAACGAATTAAGTAAAATAGCGGGTTACTTACGTGAATATACTGAGAAAAGCTCTACTAGTTTCGAACCACAGAGGGGTTCTTCCTCATGAGCAGCGTGCGCGGTCGCGGCGACGTCGCGCAGCTCACTCAGTGAGCTGTTCTCTAGAGCTTTTCTCAGTATATTCACGTGAGTAACCCGCGATTTTGTATGTCTCACGATAGTTATTATAAAAACACAAATGAACGACTTACGCAATTCCATAGAAAACGCACTAGATACAAAAATATTTATAAACAAAATCAGTAGCAACATTTCGAAAACAAACTGCCCGACTAAGAAAACATGCGTAACTGTCCTACGTTACCTTGTTCTTCGTTTTATAAACGAATTGTAAAAATTACATGTTTCAGCCTCTTCATTAGATAACGTAAACACACAACCCTTAATTTTCAGTCAACACGTGAAGCCTTGTTCACGTGGATGTGTACTTAGGAACAATAGGAACTCTACCTTAAGAATGACTGTTTCGGTTAGTTTTTACTCCATTTCTGTTCTTCTATAGATTCGCAAGTGATATGGTAGTGTAAAAGAAGCAAGGTATAACGTCCCATCTAATATTGTATATTTCGTGTTACATAATTTAATTGAAGCGCCTACAACAAATTTCTTACTATCAGCATAATTATTTTATAGAATTTGTGCTTTATTCTATTAGGGTTAGATGTTATATCAGATTGTTTAGTTTTTTGCATAATATTTTGTAATAGGTGGTATGAACTGACGTAAGTAACATTTTTACTTAGTTTAATAGTACATTCTGGAGTAATATAATATTAAAGTATATTTCTATGTTAATACGTCAATTCTAGTAGTAAATGCTTAAAAGCTTGAATTCAAAACTTGAAAAAAATTCGAGCATTATCTGTAAAATAAATAAGCTCTTAAAACAGATTTTAAACAGAAAAAATGCTATTAAACAAAAACACAATGAAACTGATGAAACCTGTATTTTTCATACCATATTTAATTACGCCTGTGTATAACAATAATGCTTCAAGCAAAAACCCCATACTTAAAGCTAAGAGGTCTACTTGACATGAACATAATGTACCTATCCACAAAAAACGCGTCGCAAATGAAAAATGTTCCCGGCAATGTATCACTGTGGAAAATGTAAACAAAATCACTCACATAAGCATAACAAGATGCATCTTTGACATATGAATAATGTTCGCATAAAATTCAACCTTATTTTCTGGTGTGCAGAATTCAATTTGAATAATGAATATATCTGTTTTCTTTTATAAGGGAAAAGGGACTCTATTGTTTTGTAATTTGGGTTGTTTTTGAATTGCTGTGTGGTGGTAATGTACTTTTTTCTTGTTAAACGTTAACAAATAGTTATGTTGGAAGTGACAGGAAGCAAGCCACTTTAGTTTATACAACATCTATGTTGAATATACGAAATAAAATGTTATTTTACGAGTAGGTAGGTTCAAGCTGAGTAGAAAAGACTTATTGAAACATTTTCGGTAAGCTCAGTGATAAGCTATAGAACTAAACTGTATTTGAAATGAAATTGATGAGACAAATAAGTGAGAGAAAAATTACCGAAGAACTAATGACGCCTATTATTAAAGCCTTACATACAATTTAAGGTTAAATAGTATTCAACCCGTCCACTGTTGAGCAAACGCCTTGTTTATAGAAGAGTTTTTGTCAAAAGTATGCTTGAGAAGCGGCTTAGGAATCGCAGCTAAGACGGCTTGGGGAACACAGTTACGTTACTGACGGAACGTAAATAAAAATCTGCTGCTTATCTCTATAGACATGTCACATGTCCGCTTGTATAATGGGTTATGTTTTGCGGAATTATTTGATATGATGCCCACGGCCACTTTTTATCAAATCATTGGAGACAAAATGGTCCCGTACAATTCGGTTTCAGAGGAATTTTCTCCCATGGACTCTCCGATTGTGGAATGAGCTCCCTGCCGTGGTTTTCCCAGTGGGCTACAACATGAGATTCTTCAAGAGGGCAGAGAATAGGTTTTTTAAGGGTCGGTAAGACGCATGTAATGCCCCAAGTGTTGCAGGCGTATATAGGCCACGGTAACCGCTTACCATCAGGTGGGCCGTGTGTTTTTTTCCCACCGTCGTGGTATAAAAAAAATGTCACCGTTTTAGAATATATAACCTGGTGTCTAGAAAATAGTATTTGCGCAAGCAAAACTGTAGACAAAAGTTGTTAATATACGCAATTTTCTAAATTATCCACTGCGACGTAAATGTACTTACGATTTCTCATAAACGTAACATAATTAGTAGTTATAAGGTAATTTTAAGCATAGTAGACTTGTACTGGCATTAATCACTATGCCAGTTTATTGGCATCCAAGTAAGGTCAACTCAATTATATTATTATGAGATTAAACCAGAATATCTGTTTGATTTAGATTTAATTATGTCGTGGTGGCCCGGAGGTTTATGACACCCCTTTCTCATGCATGAGAGTACAGCTACCAAAACTACCAATGGCAAGTACTTACCAATGCTACTTTTTTGCGAGTTATAGGTATGTACTTTCTAAGATTATCTAGATACCACTGACAAACGGTGAAGGAAAACATCGTGAGGGAACCTGGGCTTATAATTTCTAATTATAAGTTTGAAATTGCCAACCCGCATTGAGCAAGCGTGGTGATTAATGCTCAAACCTTCTCTGTGTGAAAAGAGGCCTTTGGTCAGCAGTGGCCACTTATAGGCTGTTGATGAAACTATATCATTATCAGTGATAACTCCCTGGTGGACTATAGTCCTAATTGTGTAAGTAGGTATACTTAAGCCTCCTTCATCAAGTTATCACCATCATGTATCAAATTATGGACCATAAGTCTCTTCTATTTAATAGGATTCGCCAAAATCTGCATACTTGGTAGACAATTTAAAAGGTTCCAGTATATCAAGAAGCGCTGATTACTGGTCCCATCGCCTAAGAAACCTACAGGAAGCCAAAAAACAGTTAAAATAAAAATTATAAAAAATAAAGGTTTAGGCAAATTATGCTTTATTGGTAGCTTGTTGGTCTTGTAAAACAGTTCGTCAGGATTCTGAACATGAAACATAATATTTGTTGGACGCGTAAGCGAAATGTAGACAGACAGGCAAACATACCATGCGTTTTAACATGACCACAGTGTGCGTGACATTTGTGGGGAACAATGCGCTCAAAATAAATGTCATAAATTGTGGTGAAAAAATATGCCTAAAAACGCATCATAAAAATATGATGTATCAATTTTAGTTCTTATTAAAACGTTGCCCAACACTTGGATTTTTTCCTGTGTCGTGTGCGTTTACAAACATACAAGTTTACATACACATGACACCCAAACCCGGAGCTACAATTTGTGGATCACACGAAGAGATGCTCCGTGTAGTAATCGATTTCCCTACCCGTTGCATGGCAGCCAGTTGCCCAGCCACCGCACCAACCTTGCAGTCAATCAAAAATGCTATGACTGTGTTATGTAAGTAAGGACAGTACAGTGAACCCATATTGCAAAAAGATAGAAATGTGTTTGCGATCGCACTAAAATAGTACCAAATCTCACGGTGCTAATTTAGAGAACCTTTAATTGTATATAGTTTTTAAATTCTGAATTCATGTTGAAATCAACAACCGCAATTATCAAGGATCTTTTTATGAATAATAAATTCATTCGTTTTGAAATCAACACCGTTTTTACAGGATCAGAAAAAAGTAGGTGGAAAAAATCCGATGTTTATATCACGATTATATTACGCGTCATGGAAAGAAAAAATAAAATAAAAACTTTACTATTTTTACGGAAGACCTATATGAGAAAATATTTTTATTTTGTGTACACAAAGCACCGCTAATTAGTTCGTGGTGCTACACATCGACACAACTATCATTTACACAATATACATGTGTGGGTAATTTCATATCAATAGATATGTATAGAAACATTCGTCTATCACACACATCTTGGTATTTAAATATCATTTTTGTGTCGGTATACGTAATAATTTAGTCAATAAGTTTAAATAAAAACGAGGGTAAAGATAAAATTACTCATAACAAACTTTGAATAAATCGAAATCAAAAATAATGAACGATCGAGCTATACAATACCCATATAACTATAGTGCTTTCTCATTGTAATTTTATGTTACTGAATGATATACAATATTTCGATGATTTTATCTACAGCGCGCTTGGCGCAATGGTTATCGCCTCCAATTGTCAAGTAAAGTGCCGCCGGATCGATTCCAGCATTCACATGTTGTTTTAGTATTAATTTATCAAATATTTGAAATTTGAAATTGAAGTTAGAAACAATTAAATCTTTTCTTTTTTTCCTATCCTATTGTTCTAAATCTTATGTTAATTTTAATAGTAAATACTTTAGAATTATTTATACCTATAATATCTTTTATTTATATTTTTTAATGTAATTAAAATTAATTAAATAAATAAAATAGTGATTTAAAGAACTTTAAACTTAACATGTGGTATATAATTAATTATTAAATATAAATATTGAATATAAAACCACATATTTGTATAATAAATAAATTAATTGTAATAAAAAATAGTATTGTTTTATTTACCGACTCATTTGCTTCTTTTATAGCCTGATATTTATATTTTATGACAAAAAACAAAAAAAAAATTAAGAAAAATAACATAATATAAAATAAACTTTTAGCTGGAATAGAACCCACATCATTGATCCTTGAAAGACGATAAAAGCGTGCTCATTAATCAATCGACCACGAGCACTACGATAATGACAGTAAAAATGTCGGGTCATATCAATGATTGTAAATAGTTTTAACCTTACCTATGCATTAAATTATAAAAATACGTATACCGACACAAGAATGAAAATACCAATGTGAACGTGGTGGACGAATATTTTTATACACAGTAATATGAAATTACCCACACATGTACACTGTGTAAATGACAGTAGTGTCGATGTGTAGCGCTGCAAACTAATTAGCGGTGCTTTGTGTACATACTCATAGAGTAAAATTAATATTTGCCTAGAATCTGTAATTTATGCTTTGCACAGAAAAATACAGCTTAACATTTTCACTGATCATCAGTGGTAAGAAAAATTTGTTGATGGAAGGATCAGTTAAGTTAAGGATCAGTCCCTTAGTAAGTACTACTGATCAAGCAACTAACCATAGTTGATCATATAAATATTCCTTGTCTCTTTTTATTTTTACGATGTTCACTCTCTTGTTTTTACTTAACGCATGCTTAAAAACACTGTAATTTCCCATCTTGTTATTAGTACACACGTACATACTATTTGCTACACAAACTGTTGAAATTTCTGTGTTTGAGTAAATAAATAAAAAAGAAATAGAATAATGCCTTACCATGTCCCAGAAAAACTCAACCACGACATCATGCTTTTATTTTACATATTAATGTGTAATAATTAAATTATTATATACATATAATTAAACACATACATAATAAAAAAATATCTAGGAACCAAAAATTAAGCTAAAAATATAATTTTCAGATCATTAATTTTATAAAAAATGCTCATTGTGCTAATGTTGTATTACATAATACTTTAATTTTATTAGTTTTATAAAATTATTATTTATGAATATTTCGCCATAAAAGTATAATATCTAATTATCTATTTCTGGCTTAAATTACAAATTAGTAGGATGTGGTATCTTATGAGTTTAAATTTTTGTAGAATAAATATTTCATTTATTCTAGAAAAATTCTAGATGATTCTAGATTCACTACAAAAAAGTTTTGGGTTTTTTTTCGTTCAATTGAATTTTTAGCACTGCATTGTACATTTACCTATTTTCTAACCATTGCAAATAACTAGGTTAATCGACGAGTCCCGACTAGACCGGACACATACCAGAGACTAGACATTTGTAGACATATTTTATTTACCATTATCATCATATAAGACGTTTACGACAGATGTTCATTGCTGAACATAAACCAAGAACCTCATTAACCTCAAGAACCCTTATTACAATTACTTCTATCAATTTTTAAGTATGGGAGAGCCATGCTTCAGCACGAATGGGCCGGTTTGACCGGACCAATACCACGACCTCACAGAAAACCGACGTGAAACAACGTTTGCGCTGGATTTCATCGTGTGAGGAAGTTACCGGAGGCCCTGTTAGCCCCCCCTCCAATCCCTCCAATCCCTGAATCTTCAACAATCCTCATATTCCTAATCCCAAAAGTCCGGTAACGCACTTGTAGTGCCTCAGGTGTTCCAGGTGTCCATGGACGACGCCGATTGCTTAGTGCTTACCATCAAGTGATCCGTCTGCTTAATGGCTTACCCCATAGAAAAATGTATCAATTAGATGCGCATTGTTATGTGTTGTGTAATATAGCAAAACTGTGGAATGATCTGTCGTCAGGAGTATTTCCGAACCGATACGACCTTCAAACCTTCAAGAAAAGAGCGTATTCCTTATTAAAAAGCCGGCAACGCACCTGTGACTCCTCTGGAGTTGCGGGTGTCCATAGGCGGCGCTGATTGTTTACCATCATGTGACCCGTCTGCTCGTTTGCCTTCTATTACACCAAAAAAAAAATACGTTATGTTATGAACCCTATCAACATTAACACTAAGCATGGTACTAAACTAAACCCATAGGGGACATACAGTATACATATTCGTAAGATGTAGGTTAGTTTATTTATTCAAATTCCCTCTATTATACTAACCATATTAAGGTTCGTTTGCCACAAGACGTTGGAATCACGATGCGTGAACTAAATGTTGAATATTAATATATCAGGTAGGTGTTAGGAAGTGGTTTGACGTCTTTCTCGTATCAAGAACTAATTAAAATTAATTAAACTGCTTTTGTCTTCATTATTAATGAATGTTAGTAGTAGTGTGTAGCGTTACCTGTGTTATTGATGAAAATCTTATGTATTTTTAATTCCATGATCTGTGTGTAAAAAAAATTGTATGTACAAAGTCTCAGAGTAGGTAATTTTTAACAAAAATGTTACAGACAAAATAAAAGACTAACATTTTTATAAAAAGAAATATTTATTCAAAAAACAAACTATACAAAATGAATAATTATTGATGTTAACAATAAATGTAACAATAACTATGGAGGTATAATAGTGTTAGAATAATAATAATAATTATAATTATAACCAAGAATTATTACTCGCTCCTCGCATATTGAGTTAAATCTTCGTCAAACATGTAGTCTGCTGACACCGCACCGAAATATTTTTCTAGGAAATTTGTGACAAAATCCATAGACTTATCCATGAATGGTTTTCCGAATGAAGTCATCAGGAACTTCCAATTTTGATTCATCACGTCCATCACAGACTTGCCTGAAAAAGTGAGAGAGTAGAATAAGATAATATTGTGGTAGCATGGGACAGGACATAATGTCACGAATATGAGCCTCTAGCATGGCTTGAAGCTGGTCGTTTTGTATCTAATCGTCAATAATTGATCAACTTCATTACCTTTTGAGTTATCTAGGTTAACCACTATATTCATAAATTACGTAATTTTTATGAACTATTATACAAATTATGATGCGGTTACTTATAAGATGGCCATGATTTAATCCAGGATTGTAATAAAAAAAAATGAATACGTTTTTTAAATAGCAAGGGTAATCACAGAAAATATAAAATTATTAAAAAATAATATTATGCAGGCATAAGATAGACGTCAGTAACTAGTGCTTAATTTTCAAAAAAATAAATATATAGTGCTTAATTTTCAAAAAAAGATAGTTTTATATTGAAGAAGATATTATTAAAACTGAAAATTCAGTTGTAGTCATTTTTAGAGGTAGTTTTTATTGTGATTACAGTTTCTTTACAACGTTAAAATTGTACATTTGATTCTACGGTACCTATACAAATATAAATATTTCGACTAAACGCTCTAAAGGTTGCGAACTCTATATACCTAATACATCTCCCATTACCTATTTATGTACTTAAATGAGTGAATTGAAGTGAAAAAAAATTTGTTCAAAATTTGACAAATTTGTTGAAATCGGTAGTTATTGTTCATCTATGATGTTTATAACACAGCCTTTGTTAATTCAAAACAACCCTGTATTGAGTGAAATACAGATATACTTACTGCACTCTTTGCCTCCTATGTACAAACTGTCAGCAAAGAACATCATTTTTCCTTTGATGTCATACTGGTACTTCAATTTATTACTCTTGAATTTGAGGTATACCTTACCACCTCGTTTTTGGAAGAAGTGATCGAAGTCAAACCTCAAGAATAATTTTTCTGGAACAAACATCAACAGTCTATAAATGTCCACTGCTGAGCAAAGCCTCTTCTCACACGGAGAAGGTTAGAGCATTAATCACCACGCTTGCTCAATGCGGGTTGGCGATTTCAAACTTATAATTAGAAATTATAAGTTCAGGTTTCCTCACGATGTTTTTCCTTCACCGTTTGTCAGTGGTGTCTAAATAATCTTAGAAAGTACATATAACTCGGAAAAAGTCACATTGGTACTTGCCGTTGGTAGGTTTCGAACCAGCACCCTCATGCATGAGAAGTGGGCGTCTTAAACCTCCGGGCCACCACGACCACGAACAATGGAAAGAGAATTTTGTAACGGAGTTATAATTTAATACTTTACTCATTACTCATAATATAATTAGTGCCAGTAAGTTCAACTCACGTAGTGATGTAATATTATTACATGGAACTCATAACATAAATAGTGAAAAGTGGGTGTCACATTGTACAGTGGCATAATGTGCACCTATGTCTACCCCTTCGGAGATAAAAGGGGTGATGTTATGATGATGAAAACCTTTTTAATAATCGTCTTAAACTGTCAAACACCGCGAGTACACCGGTGACCGCAACCTATTGTTCTTGAATTGTGTCTTTAATGACGGTACTCAAAGGGTTAATCATCATCAGTCCAAAGACACTTTCTTATGAACGAAAGCTTGTCTATCTATACTTATAATAAATCTGTAGAGAGGTCAATTCTGTACATAAAATATATTTAAAAAATAACTATCAAGGGGTGGTTAGGGATCGCTACTGATGCCAAAAATGCAATCAGTAAAATTTTTGTCTGTCTGTCTGTCTGTCTGTATGTTCGTTATGGAAACAAAAACTACTCGATGGATTTTAACGAAATTTGGCACAATTATTTTTCATACTCTTGGGCAGGTTATAGCATACTTTTCATTACGCTACGATCAATAGGAGCAGAGCAGTGAAGGGAAATATTTGGAAAACGGGAGAAGTTACTCCATTTTTTAAGCTTCCGTCGCGTGTGCAGGCTTATAGGTTAAAGCTGCATAGAATCATGTATGACAGAAATATTCTCCTTAAAATTATATAAAAAATATTCCTCGACAGCATATGTCTATCTTTTATGGTTGACTCACAATAACACGTGAAACTCCCGATAGCTTAGCAATTCGGTGATTTCTGATTGTATTTGTCTACTTTAACGTTCACAATACTCATTCATAGACGTTACGCTGTAACTGAAAGGCCAATGGTTGAAATTAGCTTGACTCGATATTATAAATGAAAATATGTGAGTTTATGTGTATGTTTGTTACTCAGTCATATTAAACCGACTGAAGGGACCGGAATGAAATTCGGAACAGAGGTAGATTATGATCTGAAGTGATACATAGGCATTTTACCGCTGGGATCGCGGGCGAAGCCGCTGGCAGAAGCTAGTATTTACTAAAAGTACATCAGAACTATTGATCAGTTTTATCAAAAATAGTTACCAATTTTGACTTTTCCATTGCCTTCGCCTTCAACAGTTTCACCACCAGAGAAGGCCTTGATGAAAGGACTGGCTGAATATACTTTATAACGTCCTTTGATTGTGACGTCACATGTCATCTCAATAGTACTGCACTCATCTTCAATGCTGGCGCTGGAAAAGGAAAATTAAAGCATGATCAAGCTATGGTTCTATCATGTAACACTGTAGGCATATTACCTATTATAGATCAAAATTACTTTGATAAAATCAAATGGAATAATGGATACAATTGCCACGGCATAGCAATGCAATGAGTTTCATTCCAGGTTAGGAAAGTATTTTGGGACTTTTAGACTTTTAGATTTTCAATTAAAGTATTGGGCTTTGAATTGTGATGGAGAATAGAAAAAAGGTCTTTCCCTGCTATAAGGGACAATTTTTATATACATATAGGTATTTGATGGACCAACGTTTAGCCATTGTGTCGCCTGGTGGTAAGCGATGATGCGGCCTACTATGGAGCACATTTACCCATAAGCAACCTATTCATTCAGGCATTGAAGACTTCCAGAACCCTATCTTAACATAGCTGGCAATAAGGAGATATAAAGTAATGAGCACCTTTACTTAAGTAATACAAGAAGGAATATATTGGAATACTTACGTAAACTTATTGACCGTGCAATCCTTAATGCCCTTGGCAATTCCATCGATTAAAGTAAGGTCAATGACATCGGCGATTGACATAGAGACATTGTTAATAGACAAAGGATCAATTTTAGGAATTCCCTTTTCAGGAAGTCCCGTTTTGGCGAGATTCTTTATCACCGATTGAATAAGACCTTTCTTACATTCGTTGTCGTTTATCTTACATTTTGGTAAAGTTTCCACTGAAATTAAGAGTTTAAAATTAAGTTAGAAAATTATTAGAGGAATTGTAATATAATATTTAAGTAATAATAATTATCGAAATAGAAAAAATATGTATTGAATTCGACCAATATCGTCTTCCTCGTCGTTCTAACTACATAGGTACTTCTATTTTGTAAAATCGTCTTTTATAAAATAGAGGTACCTATGTAGTTACTTTTGTATAATTGATACCTTAAAACAAAAATAAAAATATAATAAATGCTAATAAGTGACCAAACTTTAAATACCCTGGTCATATTTATATTTCTTTATACAAATGCTCCTTTAATTTTTAAAACTAAATTATCCATTTACATTATAATTCACTTACAAAATCCAGCTTCACACAACACAAAAGTCGTGAATACTAAAAGTAGTGACTGTTTGGGGAACATGATTCTATCTTGAGGTACTTTGTTGCACTGCTGAAGATAATGCTTGTCCCACAGATTTTACCATATATAAAGTCCACAAAATAAACGCAAACATAAGCATTTGCTGCAAAATAGAAAAAAAATGAATCCAAGGTCGTCTTTTCTAGACCTTATTGCGAATTGTACCTTTGTGAACTTGATGTCGGTCTTAAGGAAAATCGACATCTCAATACAACATACTACTAAACTGTCGTGGCTTTACCTTATTCCACCAATAAGTAGAAAACCTAAATGAACATAATCATTGAATGTTATTTCCCTCTTGTTACCCTTAGTCAGGGTTAGCCAAATTATGATCGTCTTAGTGTACGTCTTAGTAAAAGTCGTGGTGGCCCGGAGGTTTAAGGCGCCCACTTCTCATGCACGAGGGAGCGGATTCGAAACCTACCAACGGCAAGTACCAATGTGACTTTTTCCGAGTTATATGTACTTTCTAAGATTATTTAGACACCACTGACAAACGGTGGAGGAAAAACATCGTGAGGAAACCTGAACTTATAATTTCTAATTATAAGTTTGAAATCGCCAACCCGCATTGAGCAAGCGTGGTGATTAATGCTCTAACCTTCTCCGTGTGAGAAGAGGCTTTGCTCAGCAGTGGGCATTTATAGGCTGTTGATGATGATGATGAGTGTACGTCTATTGTATCTTAGAATATAATAGTAATTGCCATAGCAAGTAAGTTATGTGAAAACTTTAGAATGCATGCTTAAATTTTTTATGACTGCAATATCTCTTATAAGGACTCTAAGGGTCAGTTTACAATATCTGAATAGCCGTTATATACCAGATAAATTTGAATTAAGAATGTAATTTGTATGACTATCTATCACATAAGATTATCAGGTACTTATATAGAGGTGGTGAAACCGACGCTACAAGTATTATAAGCTTAAATTATATCAATCAAACTGACAGTAACACATTCTGTTAGTAATTCATACATTTTTTTTACTAAATAAAAAACTTTTTAGCTCGTTAATAAATATTCTAACAAACAAATGTTCAGAAGCATTTTATTACTAAAGTTTAATTGGCTAAATAAGCCATGAATGAAACAATATGATACATGAGTTTGATATTTTTTTAATATGCTGTTAATCCATGTTAATTGTTTATTAACAAAATGTTTTTTTAAGATAAAAATGTATTTATTTCTAAGTACATGGTACACTGAGATCTTAAATTAAACATAGATTTACATATACTACCATTTCTGGTGTAGAAATATTTAATAATCTAAGTCCATGCAAATCGTATTAATTAATTGATTAATTAATTAACATAACATCATGCCTTTTATACCCGAAGGGATAGGCAGTGGTGCACACTACGTCACTGCACAATGTAACACCCATTTTTCATTATTTATGTTATGAGTCCTATATAATAGGGGGTGAGCCTATTGATTAATTAATTACATTATTAATTTATTTATTTATTTAAATTTGTATATTTCTTTGGTTTAAAGATCTGTAATAAAATAAGATTCAATTCAAAAGTTTGTTTGTGACTGTTATTTTTATTTTTTATGGAATAGGAGGCAAACAAGCAGACGGATCACCTGATGGTAAGCAATCAGCGTCGCCCATGGACACTCGCAACACCAGAGGAGATTCAGGTGCGTTGTCGGCCTTTTAAAAAGGAATACCTACGCTCTTTTCTTGAAGGTTTGAAAGTCGTATCGGTTCGGAAATACCACCGAAAATTTTGTCATCATTGTCAACTACCATAAAAAAAGTCAACATAACATAACATAACATCACGTCTTTTATACCCGAAGGGGTAGGCAGAGGTGGACATTATGCCACTGTAGGTGTACCTAAAGTGGGTGTTACATTGTAATGTAACACCCACTTTTCACTATTTATGTAATGAGTCCCATGTAATAAGTCCCATGTAATAGGGGGTGAGCCTATTGCTGTATACCGGGCACAATTCCAGATTCCGTGCTACTACTGAGATTTTTTTTAAAACCCAGTAATACTTTGGCCGACCCGGGAATCGAACCCGAGACGCCTTGCCCGGAAGTCGAACTTGCGACCACTCGGCCTACGAAATAGGTTTGTGTTTTTGTATATAAGTAATACCTAAAACAGATTTTGAAAAACCCTTTCTCTGACAGTGTACTGAACATAGGCATCACCATCTTAAAATGCAAAGCCAGATCCATAAACAGCAGTACGCTTAAAAAACATCAATATCGTAACAAACGAGATGGCAATACTTAGCTTCTGAGTTTGAATGAAACAAAAAAATCTCTTCACGGTTATGACCACAAAACAAATAGTCTCATTCGATCATCAATTAGTAATAAATAATGCCTTCGAGTAGAATAAAAACTATTTAAATAAAATTTTGTTATCTTTTTATAAAGGATGCAGGTCAATGTATCATTTATGAATACCGTAAAGGTCAAAATAACCTAAAACAACGTACTTCAATAGAATTTTTAGGATTTATTTGCAACAGGTGCAATTTAACACATTGATTTTATGATTTACAATCAATATAACCTTCTGGGCTAATGAACTCTTTGGTTGGGTTTAAAAATAACTATGTTTACTTTAATCAAGTACCTTTTAATTAAACCTTACTTGTGAAGAGTTGCGCAAGGTCAGTTTTTGTGATTAATTCTTAATGTACAGAGAATAAGTTTAATTTAATTACTTTTTTATTTTAATGGGCTGACGTTTGACCACTATCCCGCCTGGTGGCAAACGATGCTGCGGTCAATGATGGATCACGTCCTCGCATAAGCAACCTATTCACTCGGATTACGACGTAGACCAGTGGTATCACAAAATCCCCGTGTGGGGCAGTGGTATTCTAGTTCTTCAACTGTGTTCTATTTTAATGGGACAACAGTATTCTTATTCTAAAAATGACGCGGTCCACTGCGGCCATGTACGACGAATTCCCAACGCCCTGCGCAACGTGGCGCGTCTCCGTAGATAGGAGCTTAAAATCTAATTGTCATATTATATACGTGAGGATTCTTTGTTCTAAATCAACTGCTACATTAAAAAATAGATCATTACAATCTCACATATAACATCACGCCTTTTATCCCAGAAGTGCACATTATGCCACTGTACAATGTAATACCCACTTTTCACTATTTATGTTATGAGTCCCATGTAATAGGGGGTGACCGGGTGAGCCTATTGCCATATACCGGGCACAATTCCAGACTCCGTGCTACTACTGAGAATTTTTTAAAAACCCAGTAATATTTTACCCGAGAATCGAACCCGAGACCCCTTGCCCGACAGTCGCACTTGTGACCACTCGGCCAACGAGGCAGTCATTACAATCTCAAAGTAGCGGAAAAAGTAAACACCTAATATTGTTAGATGCGAAAATTGATAAAGTAATTTATTATAACAATGAACTCTACGGATGTAAAATACTTCACATGTTACCTATATTTGGAAGTTTATTTAAAAAGACTTAACAAGGATCAAGGTTAGTAAACTATCCTTTATGGATTTTCAAGGGGGGAATTATTCAAAGACTTCTCCTGCCCGGGTGAGGCGAGAGGTCAGACTCTTACTGAGTAAAAACCACCCCGTTTCTACCGATCATACTCTGCACTTTGAGCCTGAACCTCGGCAACCCGATATGTCCTTCACGGCTCCTTATTGGCACAGCCCATCCCCATCTGTAGTGGTCTGATGGCTTTTTGAGGTGCGCACGGAACGCGATACGGCGATACGCTACGTCTGATTGTGGTCGCGTGGTGTGTCACTCGTGTTCGCTATCCGCAATCCCGTGCTTACGGTGGCCGGAGGTCGTCACGCGATACTTTAATGATGAATTTGAGCTTTGACCAACTATAGTATACTTATAGTAGTACATTTCAAGTATTTGTATTCAAATCTCTCGTAACACCAGGTTAGAACTTTTTACATAGCTACATAGAAATCCCATCACATAATAAACCTCATAGAAATTGTGATGTGGGATCCATTACAGGACTATCGCAACTACATTTGCGAGCAAAGAAACAGAGACCCTAGTGTTTTTTCTTTTTTTTTCTTGATAAATATTTTCTGATACGCGTATTGTATTAATTGGTAACGTATGTCGTATAAAGTGAATACCTTTAAAATGAAAGCAATTTTTTGTAACAGAAATATTTTAAAAGTTATAGAAGGTTCGACGAAATGAAAAACAAAGTAGTAGCAGGCTCCCATTCTTTGCTATCAAGTGTACATAGGTAGTGTATTAGGCAGAAAAGGGAGAAGATAATGCATAATAGCTATTGATTCTCTGAACGAAGAGGTATAGCAACAGCATAACCTCAAGCAGGAGACGACGACAGGACATCCTGAGGCGTCCTCCACTACATGACGACCACGACCATGCTTTTAAGAGTGAAGCTGTGGATAATACCTAATTTAAGAATGTTTAATATTATACTAATTTCAATTCATCAAATTACCAAGTAAAAAAAAAAATTTAGAGCAAAAAAAAATTAAAACAATGGTGCACTTTTTGTTATCAAAACAATGTATTTTTGGTATATTATTAACATAAAGTATAATTATATTCCGCACACATTTTAATAGATACTTGAAGAATTATTATTATTTTATTTCAAACTTCGTACACTTCCCATAATAAAATACAGTGCTTGCAAAAAAAATATTTTTTTATGGTTCCGTAGGAGCTCAATGAAAACCCTGTTTTTTTACGATTCAATTACTTAGGGAAATAGCATCGATCTTCAGTATCCAGCTTTTAGTAATAGATTAGAGTAGACGGTTGAGACCTAAGTTAAGACTTAAAATACTTTTTTACTCAAGTCCTGGCCCGCCATCGGTGAAATAATTAGAAAAATGGTTAAAAAGGGAATTGTCCAATTTCTAGGGGACTTTGGCCACTCTTAAACAAACAGTGCAGCTAATAATATGTGTTTGATTTATTAGCTCAAATCAGTAAGAATGAGGATCTACAGCTAATTTTGTATCAAGTATCAACACGGGATCCATGTCCACATTCAAGTCGGGGCTTGATCCCGTTATTGCTAGAGCGAGATTCGGTGTCCGTAGGTATGCCAAGTTCAACGTAAATAGAAGGTTCGGAGTCCATGAAAGTGCTGGGGTCGTCAAGAAAGGAAGTCTCGGAATCCATTACAAAAAAAAAACTAGTATTCGTTATAAAACTCACAAAACAACAATCATGATGCAAATAAACAAAGCGAATGACAACTGTCATTTTGAATTCGACGCAACATTTTTTAAGCATCGTGCTGCCATATAAAAAACAATAATTGTAAATCGATCTATTTGAAATCGATTATACTGCTATGAAATAAAATAGAAATAATAAACACAACCTAAGTTTTATTATTTTTGAACTCCCATATTAATTATATCGTTTCTTAGAATTTTTGATTATGTTATTTAATGGAAACTATATTCAATACAGTACGGAGATTTCATTGTATTTTAAATCGATTTGAATTTGTTGGTCTCTGGAGTTTTGATTTGGCAATACTGAAAACCAATCCGAAGCCGGTATAATGTGTAGCATCAAATGAAATACCAAAAAAAAAATTTTTTTAACAATTCCTATTGATACAAAGTTATTTGCACCAGATGTTTACTAAAATAGAATTTAAAATATTGGTAAATTACTTTTTTGTATAGCATTGCGTACAAAAATGGCCAAGTTCGGACAATGCCCTTTAGGTTAGGAGCAAAAAGTAAACTCAGAATGCAATGTCTGTACTTTGAAGTATCTATTCTGTAATAATGTATTTTTATTATTATTGTTTTATGGGATAAGCCGATAAACGAGCAGACGTATCGCCTAATGGTAAGCAATCGGCGTCGCCCATGGATACCCGGAACACCAGAGGCGTTATAAGTGCATTATCGACCTTTTGGGGATTAGGAATTTTAGGATTGTTAGGGATTCGGGGATTGGGGATTGGGGAGTTTGGGGAAGGGGGGACTATTATTACTTTATTTGCACCAAGTAAAGGTTTCCTTTGGAGCCAATCTTTATTAAATCTCCTGAATGAATACCAAACTACTTGACTGAGTCTAAAATTAAATAATAAAAGGACCATTATTTTACGTTTTTCTTGAAACAGACATAATAAATAAATGTTCTTAATTATCTCGTACACAAAAAAAACAGTGGTTCAACTGGATTTTTAATGTCCAGACTTGCTATATTTTATACAAAAACAAAGAAATAATACATAGTTTGTTGTGTTTTTCATATTGTACTGTACCTATTTTATTTTTGTAACTGGATTCAGTATGATACTCAATAGTTTAGTGTCATTAACTTTTGTATTTTAAATAATTTGAAGGGTTCATTGCACAAAGTGATTTTTTTATGAAATTCAAAGAGAATCTTCTACTATTCTCCTTATAATTAATCAACAAAAATGAAATTACTTAACACTTTATGTTACTTGAAACTGTGGGCACAAAATGGTCAATCAAATAAATCTCCCAATCGATTTCGGTCATGGTGGCTGGGTTGTCTAACTAGGCTATCCCACTACGCAGGAAAAATTATAGTGAACATGTGTGTGCACAAACACAGGTGTACTCTCTGTTCCCTCACTCTTTGAACCCGATGAGATGGCAGACCGATACGACCGGAGAGAGGTCAGGCGCAGGACCAAAGGCTTGTGGCGACGCATGCCACATGTCAACGGATGACGTCACAAGAATCCTACATCGCACATGCAAAGTTTACAAGCGAATAAACACGGATAGAAAATCCCAACGAACAACTGTTGGGCAGAAAGCCCGCCAGGCACGATCACCTCGCCTGGTCGGAGGATCCTCCTTTTCCGATCTTAGGGAACTATACTCTCTGTTCGTGCTTAAAGACTTTACGTGCTTTCTGAGACACGTGGCACGAACTTCATGACTTAGGGCTAATAATGGTCATTTGACTCAGAAAATGCCATTATCACTTTTTGGCTAGCGCGAGATTCGACACGTTGCTCAACAACCCCTCAGCCAACCACTGCGTCAACCGTGCAGTCAAAAAAATGTCATAATAATATCTATATTTTTTTATAGCATAAGCCGGTATACGAGCTGACGGATCACCTGATGGTAAACAATCGGCGCCGCCCGTGGACACCCGAAACACCAAGGCGTTATAAGTGCGTTACCGGCCTTTTGGGAATTGGGAATTTGAGGATTGTGGAGGATTCGTGGATTCGGTAGACTAGGGAGAGGGGTAATAAAAATGAGTGGGGTTACCGGAGCCTGGTTACCTCACTCACACGACGAAACACAACGCAAGCGTTGTTTCACGTCGGTTTTCTGTGAGGCCGTGGTATCACTCCAGTCGAGCCGGCCCATTCGTGCCGAAACATAGCTCTCCCACACTTAGATCTATTATTAACAGTTATATGAAAATCAGACTGTTTTACCCATTTAAGGCAAACAGTGAAGTGGCCTTGATAAATATTTCGCTGTTTTATTTATCTACGGAACCACTAGTTGCCAAAATTTTAATTGTGCATACAATAACCATCCGCATCAAGCTATATAAATTCAGTAGCTTAAAGTAAATTATCATTAGATTACTGTCACACAGGATTAACAGTGCCAAAATGTTTCAATCAAAAGCGATCATACTTAGCAGTGCCATTTTAGTTTTATGCGGCGCAGCAGCAGTTTGTGAGTACTTAGCTTTATAAGCCTATTTTTTCTGAAATCTGTAGGCATATAGACAGAAATTTTACCAACCAACACAAACAATCGAAGATATTTGAAAAATCTCGTAAAAGGAACCCCTTATGATGATACCCAAACCGAAAATCCCTCGATCAATATTTTTCTGCTCAATTTACCAATTTTTCCAAGTTTAACAGGTATTTTTTTAGTGTTGTGGTGGCCCAGTTCGAAACCTGCCAAAGGCACGTACCAATGTGACTTACCGAGTTATATGTACTTTCTAAGATTATTTATACACCACCGACAAACGGTGAAGGTAAACATCGTAAGGAAACCTGGGCTAATAATTTCTAATTATAAGTTTGAAATCGCCAACCCGCATTGAGCAAGCGTGATGATTAATGCTCAAACCTTTTCCGTGTGAGAAGAGGCTTTGCTCAGCAGTAGGTGCTCACAGGCTGTTGATGATATTGATGAATAAGTGTTTCTATACAATATTACATTCCGATGTCTAACTAATAATTTTATTTTCAGTTGATAAAATAAATAAAAAATGTGACTTCACTGACGATGAATGCTTGCAAGGTTTGTATTTTGGTTTAATAGGAGAAGCAACAGAAAATGGAATTTCAGAACTGGACGTGCCCAAATTGGACCCATTTGAATTGAAAGATAAACAGTTGCCCATCCTCGGTATGATAAATATTATTATATCTCATGGAACAGTCAATGGATTTAAAAATTGCGTTGGAAGTAATGTTCAGTAAGTTATTTTTCTTATATAAATCATTTTCATAGAGATAAACACGAACTAATTATTATACTTTTGTGTCACATAACTTTTTGACGGGCAACTCGAAAAATTTATTTATTTATTTATTTATTGAATGGTGAATCAACAGCTACATTACATACATTTAGCAGAAGAATAGTAACATTGAGCCACTTACAGATTCACACGAATACTGACTTAATAGGTAACAGCTAAGACAAAATAAAAATTATAAATACACCAAAAACAGGCACACAGCAAGAAAATTATTTAAATATAGAAACAAAAGAAAGGTGAATACATATTTAACATAAAAAAAAACAAAAATCAGCTATTAAAAAAGTCTCCACTTATCATAGTTCTAGCTTTCCTCAGGCTTGTACAAAAGATATCTATATCATGCTTGCTACTGATGTCGTTAAAAGTACGACAGGCTCGACACAAGAATGAGTTTTGCCTGTAGTTACTGTTTGCTACCGGAGCACAATATAATAATTAATTCAGTATTGCCGGAATACTGAAACGTTACTCAATTTTAAGTCGTGTTTAAATTATCGTGCCATCTGTGTCATTTTACAAAGAATAATTAGTGGTGACAGAACTATATTTAAGCGGGACTTAAAAATTGAGTAACGTTTCAGTATTCGGGCATATGTCTCTCTAAGTTATAATACAGGGATAAACAGAGATATTATTATATTTGTTGCTCCAATTTTTATCCATTCCATTTTATATTAATAGACAAATAACTAATTTTTATTTTAAAGTTCGCCTGGTAGGTAATTTAGAAATATTAGACACGTATTTCTCATTTTCTTACTGAAACAAATTGCTTTAGGCGTTATATTGATGTGAAATATCCCGTGACGTCACTTTTGTGTACGTTTTATTCTCAAAATGACGTAGCTAGCTCCCACTCTTAAACTTTGGTTTGTTGTATCTAAGTATTGTTTTCTTGTACAACAAAATAGGAAAATATGTTTAATGTTTTGTCATTACCTAACTGATGGACTAATTATATTTTTCATTTTCATACCTTGAAATCATATCTATTTAAGACTATTGCCTTAAACTAAGTCCTTTGTAAAACCCAAATGGTACTAGTAAATAAAAAAAAATCAAAACGCGAAACCTCTTGTTGCCGCATGAAAACGTACTTTGGGTATATTCCAGAACCTATTTTAATAAAATTAAGAAATCTTCAAATTATGCATTAAATTCCCACTTTTCATTAATCTCTTGATATTACCTTTTTCAGCAATGACGTAGAATCTCTACGTATCAAAGTCACACTTATTTGTGAAAACTTCGCCATCAATGGAAAGTATAAGATTGAAGTGACTCCAGTACTCAAAGCTCTTATTGGAACTATCGACATCCATGGAGACGGACAAGGCTCTATTGTAGTTGGTGAGTATGCTTATTATCCTATAACCTATACTCCTTTCCTTTCTTATTCCTTAAATAGAACGTTGCTCTTGTGTCGTGGGTGCGTTTACAAACATACAAGTTCACATACGCATTACACGACAATCTGTGACCTGGAATAACAATCTGTGGATCACACAAAGAGTTGGTCCGTGCGGGAATTGAACCCACGATACGTTACCCGGCAGCCAGTTGTATATTAGGAGGTTTAAGACCGGTTCTCGGGTATGAGAGTGCAAGTTTGAGTCATGCCATCAGCAAGTGAGTTTTCCCGAGTAATTTGTACTGGCTGTTAAGGATGATGAAGAGTCAGGTACTGGGATCCCATCTGATTGAGGGCGGGACGGGAACAGTCATTTCACGATTTTCCGTCCATATGCGCTTACCACACACACTCGACGAGTGGTAAGAGAAATAACGAGGAAAGGAGGCAGGGATATAGTGTGGCAACATTACTTCATGCTACACGGCATGCCCCTCGTCCTGCCCACTGCTCCCTATTTTGTCAGTTTTTGCGCGCGTGTCAACGGACCGGCAATACGAGGAGGCAACAAGGACCGGCAATAGGAGCGTCGCGATTGATTGTGCGAGTAGAGCAGTTTGTGGGCAGAGAGGGCAGCATCGCGGCATAGCACGGCAGCGTGAGGAGCATAGCAATGAGCAGCGCAAAGAGTATAGTCTGGCAGGCGCACTAGAAAAGAAGATAATTTTTGTGTAACGCCCATTCATTAGCTTGTTTACAAACTTGGTCATACAACATCAGATATATAGCAACTAGAATATAGATATAACATAAAATAACTCTTGAATGCGTTGTCATTATCAAGAGCAAATTTTTTTTTCGTCAATTGTTTCGTTATATGTACTAAGGAGTGTTTTACTTCCAGATAAAGTGAAATTGGATCTTGAAATTGCCTACGAAATAAAGAAAAACGAGAATGCTGACATTCGTTTTGTGTTGAAGCCAGAAGACACCACGTATGAATTTGAATTTTTAGATAAAGTAACGTTTGGAGCTGATAGCGTATTCATCGGGTCACAAGATATAAGTGAGTATAGTTTTATTTTACCGAAATATTATTAATGAAAGTATTATTCCTATAGAAAAGTTGATTTAAAATATTATTTCCATAGAAAAGTGATTTAAAATATTAAGTTAAAATCAACAAAAAATATTGTAGTAGCCTATGGACAATAAAGCCCTAATATCATAAGAAGAGAAGCAAAGCCTATTGTTGAACTCATGATAATTTTAACACCAATGCTGAGAAAATTTTCTTTACTTACTTAAATACCTTAATACCTATGTAGTATAAATAACATAACATCACGCCTTTTTATCCCCGAAGTGGTAGGCAGAGGTGTACATTTCGGCACTTAATGGCACTGTACAATGTAACACCCACTTTTCACTACTTATGTTATGAGTCCCATGTAATAGGGGGTGAACCTATTGCCATATACCGGGCACATTTCCAGACTCCGTGCTACTACTAAAATTTAAAAAAACCCAGTAATACTTTTCCCGACCCGGGAATCGAACCCGAGACCCCTTGCCCGGCAGTCGCACTTGCCACCACTCGGCCAACGAGGCAGTCAGTAGTATAAATGATAATACTAATCACTTACTTATTGTCATTTTCAGGTAACGTGGTGACCAACGTCCTAAATGAAAACTGGGAATTCATAGCAAAGAGTTTCGCAAGATCTGTCATCGATTTGGCTATGACAATTTTCAGTAGTAATGCTCAAAAGGTACTTGATGCTTTACCGGTCAAGGACTTGTATAATACTGATTTAACACATTACGTTAAGAACTAGGCAAGAAATAGAAAGTATTTTCTGATCAATATGTATACCTATTTACAAATGATAGATAAATCTGCTCGGTACCTATTGCATTTTATAAACTTTTTTCAAATAGGAATAACATAATGGTGACTTCGTCAATTTAAATACGAAAACTTTAATGTTTAAGCACTTTTCATACACTTTCTAGAATGAAAAAAGTTTCGATTGAGGGTAGCTGCTTTACTTGGCTTTTGACACTTCTGATGCTAATTTAATGTGTACAATACAATCATTGTAATTTTTTAATCATACCTATTACAAATTGATATTCAAAATATATTATAAGTATTCTATAGTCAATGTTCGTTTTATAATTTTTATTAATTAGACCTTAAACTTAGTATCTATATATTACTTATCATATACTTATTATTGTTTTTGCTACCAAACAATAATATTAATAGTTCAATTTGAATTACAATACCATTTTGCCGCAAAGGATGTCTATTTTATAATAATTTAAAACCAAAATGAATACCAAAGTGTGAATAAAAACAAATAAATATAAAATAAAATCTTGTGCTCGTTTTATCGAACATCTAAAAGGTAAAAATTGCATTGAACATAAATTGTAAAATGTTGTTTAGTTCATATGCTATTATTATAATAATACACTATAATTTAGTTATAATACGTGTGAGTTTTATTTGTATGAAATAAAATGTTATAAATTATTGGTTTTAGTTTGTTTTCAATTCATTCATAGTAACTTTATTTCATTATTTGTGTGAATTATTACATTACTCTTTATTCTTTACATATTTGTAACACATTGCATAGCAATATAATATAAACTACCTAGTTAGAATATAGATTTCTCTTAAGGAGATCACAATGCTGTAGGATTATCTAATAGGATGCTCTAGATACTCCTCAGTAATCCAAGAAAAGCCGGTCAAGCAGATGTCACGTGCCAACTGAGACCGTACATAGCGAGGGTTACTGTAAAAAAAGTTGACATCCCTACGCTCAAGGGATACATAGGTTTCCTCAGATATGTTCCTTAACAGGCATTACAGGCATCATGCATAGGTACATAAATGTCCCACAGTTGGTAGGCGACGTGTGTTGGGTTGTTCCATTCCCAACAAAAAGTTTGACCGGATCACCGACCAATTGCTGACGCACACGTCGTACTCGCGAACAGGTGCCTTTTGCTTTGGCAAGTCGACTCTCCTAGCGTGTTGGTAGGGATAAAAAAAAGATAAAAAGCAAAGAAAAAATAGAGTGGTGTTTGCTGATTTCGTAGAGTCGTCAATAAAAATGTAAATAGATAATTGTGTTAAGTATTATATAATGTATTCTTATAGTAACAATTTAATATTGGTAATTATAGTGATCCGTCTGCTCGTTTGCCTCCTATTTCATAAAAATATGTATTGTACAAGATAGACACTTCAAAAATATTGATTAAACACTAAGTAAAACAAATCAATATAGGACAGGGACACTGATCAGGGGTCCGTGGAGATTAATATAACCGTGGTTATTATATTAGTCCGTAGATATAGTGATATCCACGGACTACATAGTATAAAACAAAGTCGCTATGTGCGATCTATCTGTCCCTATGTATGCTTAGATCTTTAATAGTTTTAATTGATTTTGATGCGGTTTTTTTAATAGATTGAGTGATTCTTAATGAGGGTTTATATGTTTAAAATATGCATATTGCACACGAGCGAATACGGGGCAGGACCCTAGTTAAATAAAAAAAATAACTGGCATTGACTTGGGATTTAGTACGTAAAGAGGACTTAGTACCACGTAGGTGCTGATGGTGGCTACCAGGATGGTTTTAGTGATATCATTGCCATAGAATAGTTTTTCGACCATAAAAATATTGAAAGAATCCTCTCTTTGTCAAAAAAGGTCACATTGACGATCATGTATTTGCCTATCAGGTATTCAATTTGCTTTTCAAACTAATGAATCATCGTATGATGAATCAAAATACTGTATTGAAATTTTTCGGATTTAGCAAAATTCTCGTAGGTCGTAACAAGGTCCTTTCTAATACTAGTGACAGTACTCATATGAATTTAGTATGTGAAAACTGGACGTTAATCTTTACTTACCTTTTCAATCATTATTATTTTGTTGATTGTATGTTAATAAAATAAAACTGAATTAACAAATAATACTCTTTATTTAGCCAACGGTCTTGATCACAAAGAAAACGTCAACGCTTCTAAATCAAGGTTTAGCGTAAGGCGACAGGTCATCAATGATATAATATCTAGCAGGAACGTTATCAAAGAAGTAACCAGCGAATCTGAAGTAGAACTCCATGGCCTTGTCCACGAAGGGCTGACCGAAACCTGACATCACAAAACGCCAGTTTTCGTTCAACATCGCTATAATGGGAGAGCCTGGAAATAAAGAAATAAAGGTGTAATGTTAGCTATTATTACGGAAGGCGGTAATAATTTAATGTATCAGGGGGTGTAAAATTATATAATGATTATGTGAGTGGGTTTAGTCATGATAGGTATTTTTTATTTATCTCTTTTATCCCTGAAGTAGGTAGAGATGTATATAACGGCACTTATTGCCACTACAACGTAAAACCTACTTTTCACTATTTATGTTATAAGTCCCATGTATTACATGGGGGGTGAGCTTCTTGCCATATACTGGGCACAATTCCAGACTCCGTGCTACTACTGAGATTTTTTTAAACCCAGTAATACGTTGCCCGACCCGGGTATCGAAACCGACCCTTGGCAGTCGTACTTGCAACAACTCAGTCAACGAGGCAGTCTGAGCATTACAAAAGTAATATCAGTAGTTTCAATTTTAAAAACCAAATTATTTCAGTGAAATCCATTTCGCCATTGCGTATCTAAATCTTGAAATGTAAGCAAGGTTACCAAACATTACCAAAATTAACATTAAAATTCAAGACTCCTGTGCTAAATAATACTTATCGAACAAAATAATCATAAGCCTGGCTACATTATGTTTGTATGCAACGTTAATCCCAAAATATTTAAATTTTATCGCTTAGGCATATCATATTTTTATTCATTTAATTAGCGAGTTGAGAGAACTCAAAATTCATTCAAAAAAATATTTAACAAAGACTAAGTAGGTACCTACCTAATTATTACAGCACTTGTTTTTTTAATGTCAGTTATTTGTTTTTATTCAGTTTGCAGTTTTTGCTATGAGGCTCACGTGAATCATAAATGTGGGCAAAGGTTTATAAACTTGTTTTCTTTTTATTCAAGTAACATGAGTGTGTAGGGTGTATGAAAATTAATAAATCCTTGAACCCTGAATTAATTAGCCATTTGGAAAATTTTACCATACAGGGTGAAATTAGGTAGGTCACAAACAAAAAAGAAATATGCATGAATGAATATATGAATCACAGAACATATGAATATTGAATAATACTATTGCTCGAAAGCAAGCAGCAGTCATTTCCCTCAGAGACAAAAGTCATTAAGTTTAACTAGGCAAGTTTAAGTAAATATAACTCCTTGCATATCAGCAAACAGTGATATCAGCAATATTGGGAAAAATGCAATTGGATTAAAAACACTTCACAGAAAACCAAAGTGAAACAATGCTTGAGTTGTGTTTCGTCGTTTGAGTAAGGTTACCGGAAGCCCAATTACCCGCAACCTTATCTCCCAATCTCTGAATTTATAAAAATCATCAAATTCCTAATCCTGAATAGCCAGTAACGCACTTGTACCACCTCTGGTGTTCCAGGTGTCCATGGGTAACGCCGATGGCTTACCATCAGCAGCTGTAGCCAAATGCCATTTAGCGCTTGTCTACGTGTATATATAGAATAGAAAACCAAATTATATGGAATTGATGTAAATTTTGACACTTCTCAGTATAATTCCCATACATTTAGTTTTCTACTCTCTCTGTAGACAAACGCTAAAGTGGCGTTTGGCTAAAGACACAGGTGATCCGTCTGCTCGTTTACCGACTCAACCCATATAAAAAAATTAGAAAACCGGATAGAAAGCACAATTTATTAAACTTTATAGCTTCTAAAATGTTTATGTCATATTATTTGTACTTACTGATCTCCTGTTCTCCAACATAAAGATTATCAGCAAAGAAAGCGACTTTCCCTCCAAATTCATAGTCGTACTTGATGAGGTCGTAAATGCATTTTATGTAGATCTCGCCGTCATCGCGCCTTTGGGCGTAAAAAGGAAAATCAAATTTCAAATGCAGTTTGTCTGGAACACAAGGAACGGTTTTGGTGAATAACAAAAATATGTATGTAGCACGTATACTTATATTGATGAATAGCTATAACCGCATCTTCATCTGCGTTTTGTTTTAAATAAAAGTTAGCTATGGTACGCCTTAGTACATCAGCTAACTGCCAATAGAAGTCCCTACAAACATTAGCAGTTTAGAGAAGTTCAAAGTTCAGATTAGCCAGTACAAATATACAAACAGACAGACAGACAGACAAAAATTGTAAAAAGTGTTTTTTGGTTGATGTATTTATATTAATAATATGTACCAAAAATCAGTTATTTCAATAAAAAATTTAATACGATAATGAAAGATATATTTTGTCTCGTAGCTACAATAACAACCGTTATTGTTCAAAGATACCACTGGTGGATTATGGACCTACTCCACATTCATCTGGTTATGACTATTTTTGTATTGTTTACTGGTTTTTTTTTGATATTCTTTGACAAATTGCATATGTAGGGTCAAATTTTGGTGGTACTAACTTAATACTGTGATCACAATTATTTACCCAAAATGTAATGAATAAATGATTTTGATTTTTTGATTTGGTTTGGTTATTAAATTTTAAAGTACCTAGCTTCACTGACGGACAGACTGGTAGACTATTAATTATTTTATATTTGTTGACGTTTCACAAAATATCCAATTAGGGTTTAATTGAAATGCTTTTGAATTTTGGAGTTTGAGTTTGAATGACTCACCAATTTTCACTTTTCCATTCCCATCACCATGTACTGACATTCCTCCCAAAAGGTTTTCTGCCAATGAACTTGCCGTATCAACTTTGTAATGTCCTTTGATAGTCAGATCACATGTGTTCTCTTGATGGCCGATTTCTGAAGTAATGTTGATACTGAAAGAATTAAACTATCGTGTTAATATAACGCTGAGTAATGTATGAAAGTTTTACCAGTAATCAAGTGAGAATGCACATGAAATTCTTATCCACCTACATATTTAATCACTAATTTAAGTGTGGGAAAGCCATGTTTCTGCACGAATAAGCCGGCTAGAACAGAGTGATATCACGGCCTCACAGAAAACCGACGTGAAACGACTCTTGCGATGTGTTTCATCGTGTGGGTAAGGTTACCGGAGGCCCAATTACCCCCCTCCCAAGTCTCCCGAATCCCCGAATTCTTCAAAATCCTTAAATTCCCAATTCCCAAAAGGCCGGTAATGCACTTGTAACGCCTTGGTGTTTCGGGTGTACATGGCCGGCGCCGATTGCTTACCAGCAGGTGATCCGTATATATAAAAAAATGACTTTAACTGTTAGACTCCATTCCATAATTATTAAGTTTAAGAATATTTCTTAATAGGACGCAAATGAGTAATCGGATCTCCTTATAGTAAGCGATCAGCACCGCCCATGGATACCTGCAACACCAGAAGATTCACAGGTGATACGTAGCTACATTTTGTGACTTTTCGTCAATTAATTTCTTATGTACAATATGAATTCAATGACAACTATCTGGTTTACCAAGTGTCTTTTTTTTAATATTGCACTCTATAGTACTACCGTAAAACTTGTATTTGTCTATGTCGCATACTAAAATCCGCGTGTAATATCAACACGAAGTGTCATAATTATTGACGTGGTTCATTGTTTTAGAATGGTTCGAGCATTAGTTAAAAAAACGAGATCTTATTTTATTTTTGTCGTCTTCCACGAAGACAAACATTAACATTTTTGACTAGGAATCACATGGACACGGGTTTATTAAATCAATGCACAACGAATTAAATAGTGGATTCAAGACCAACATGAACTAAAATTCATGGCCAACTGGTTTTATGCCGCCAAAAATCATTCGCTCAGAAAATTACGCAAAATGATTCAAGTTTTAAATTCTAACGTTTTTTTGAGATTAATTTTGAGTGTAAATATAAATCAAGGTCAGAGGTGTATATCAAAATCTATAATACCTTCCTGCTTTATTGCTGCTTTATATTTACACTAGCGGCTCGCCCCGGCTTCGCGCGTGTCAATGTGGCTGCATGGGGTCCCCAATTCATGACCCTAACATGCCTCAAATTACCTATACATATTTAAAAAATATTCCTTCAAAAATTTACAAAATTGTATCATCATCATATCAAATAATTAGTACCAAATTTTCGAAAGAGCCTCTTTCTATCTATTTGCGGGTAGTAATCTATACATATTGTCTTAGGTAAAAATATTTACATTTGACAATATAAGTAAGGTAACTCAATAATAGATGAATTTTTATGCACATTCAAGTTTCTTAAGTTGTACTTATGGTCGGTATTTTATTAACTCATTCTTCAAAGGGGGGTTATAGGAAATTTCCACCCCGGTGTTTGTGGTTGCGCTACAATTCCATTGCACTAAGAAATAGATACCATCGCTCCTCCTCGATTCTGCAACTAAGTACTAAGTATTCGATATCAAGGAACCTATGAATAGGTACCTACTGGACTGACCCTCAGATAAAACTAGCTCTTGTACTCTCTTGACCACTTAGCCAACGAAACAAGTTTCCTATAATATGTCCTTTAAACTAAAATGTATCTACTACAGGCAAGGACAAAGAAGCTCATACCAGCCATTAAGTGCAGGGTCACTACTCAAGAAGACGATTAGATTCACTCCATTTGGCACTAACAACGTCATGTCTACTTGATTTCCATAATAACTATGTTCATAAGCGGAAAAAAACTGTGATAATGTTACGCTTCAGATGACTTTGTTGTGTTTTCATAGAGGTACTTGTGCATTTTTCATTAAACATAATGTTTAATTTATTCAATATTGTATAAATAGATTTCTTAATGAACTTAGACAAGCGTAGGTACTATACATGAGGAGTCGGTTTATTTTCTAGCCAGAAGTTCTCAGCAGTGCGTGCCTATTCCCCAGCAATGGACACTAACGTCATGTTGTTGTTGATCATTGTGAAAGAATTTTAATGCAAAAAAAATGCCGCGCAGTTTACCAATTAAATAAAATGTACAGAAATGATAATTACTACTATCAATAACGATTTCTACACAATACTAGCTTCTGCCCGCGACTTCGTATGCGCAATCCCATTTCCCCCCCGTTCCCGTTCGTGATTTTCGGTAAAAAGTAAAAAAAAGTATTCTATAAAAAGTATGTCCTATGTCCGTCTCCTGGTTTTAAGCTACCTCCCTGCCAATTTTCATCTAAATCGATTGAGGCGTTCTTGAGTTATAAATAGTGTAACTAACACGACTTTCTTTTATATATATGTATATATGTATATAAGATAATACGAAGTACTGATGCTAAGATTAGCGAACTTCGTACCGTAACAGAATCGTTGAGACAATTACTACGTACTTTATTTAATTTACGCAAATTGGTGCACAATACATATTGGCCGGGTTAGTACGGGCCTAAACCAAGTGTTAAACAACTTAGGTGGCTCAATTTCGGATATAACCGTAGGAAACATTATCTGTTTTATAATAATAATAAAACAGATAATGTTTCCTATGGTTATTATAAGTGTGGGAGAGCCATGCTACGGCACGAATGGGCCGGCTCGACCGGAGTGATACCACGGCCTCACAGAAAACCGAAGTGAAGCAACGCTTGCGTTGTGTTTCGTCGTATGAGTGAGGTTACCAGAGGCCCAATTACCCTCCCCTTCCCCAATCTCCCCAATCCCTGAATCCCCAACGATCCTTAAACTCCTAATCCCTAAAAAACCGGTAACGCACTTGTAACGCCTCTGGTTTTCGAGGTGTCCATGGGCGACGCCGATTGCTTACCATCAGGTGGTCCGTCTGCTCGTTTACCGGCTTATGCCATAAAAATCCATCTTAACAGATTTACACAGCCTTACCTGAATTTTTCAAAAAGGCAGTCTTTAATGCCTTTGGCAACTCCTTCAACCATGGTAATGTTCACGACATTCAGTACAGAAACAGTAACATTGGTCAAACGGATGGGGTCCACTGGTGGAATGTTCAGGTCTGGTATTCCATGCTTTCCAATATCCCTGATCACTGTTTCGTACAGATCTCTTAAACATTCATTGTCCTTGAGGTGGCATTTTGGAAGATTATCGACTGAAACAAAATTTATTTAATTATTTCTACACTTTAAGCTTGTAATATGTAGGTACTTAGTAAAAAATTATATATTTATTTATAAATTACGTTTAAAAAAACCAACGCCCCTCTTTTTGAAGTCGGTCAAAAGTCAAAAGTCAAAATCATTTATTTCAATTAAACCAGGATGGCACTTTTGAACGTCAAAATTAATATACTAATCGGTCGGTTAATTAATATACTAAACCATTCTCCTAAGTGTAACAAACACTTTTCTGGGAAACCGCATCTAAATCGGTTCAACCAATTACGAGATAATCGTACACAAACATACATACATACATACAAACATACATACATACATACATACATGCATACATACATACAGGTTAGATAATGAACCTCCATTTTTTGAAGTCGGTTAAAAAATAACATAGTGTTCGCATCTGATAATAATATTAATAAAGTTAATCATATCATAACACCAACAAACACAATGGTAGGTAATGACCATTGGGACAACGACCAACGAAAGTCAAAATTAAGTATCTATAAAACACATTAAATAAATCATATTTTATTTTTTTCTCTAAAAATAAGGACAGGTAGACGAGAGCACTACATTTTTTACCACGCTCATAAATATTAACATAAAGGTTACACAAAAGCCCTAATAGCTCGTTTTAACATAAAAAACACTAATCTTTATATTGACATATGCAAAAATAAAAAAAAATTGACCGCTCACCAAAACCAGCGTCACAAAAAACGAAAAATACGAACATAAACAACACTGGGATTCTTTTAAAAAACATTTTTTAACCTCTATGCGTATGAATAATACGAAGAATGAACCGTATGAACACTGAGGCGAGATATCATAAAACTAAATGATATTTTACGTTCTGCTAATAATTACGCACTAGGTACCTGTTTCTACAATGACGGCTGAATTGCGCAAACTGGTATTCTTTTTATAACTATTATCGTTTTAATTTATGTAGGAGATGGAGACAGAGATAACGCAACTTACAATGTAATCACTCTTTGTTTATTTTCTAGACAGTAAACCAAACAGGCAGATCGGCAAGATATTTTGGCTGTTGTGTTACTAAAGGTAATCAATTTCGATTTCATCCTTTCACTGCACCACTGCCTTTTTCTCTGCATTATTTTACGGAGATTTTCCCACAACCTAGAAGAATCTTCTCCAATTAAAGAGAAATTCTATATAATTGTAATAATAAAAGAAAAAAAAATGTTACATTATTTAAATTACACTGACTTTCTCGTTGGCCGAGTAGTCGCAAGTGCGACTGCCGGGCAAGGGGTCTCCAGTTCGATTTTCGATCGATCAAGGGGTTTACAGTAGTAGCACGGAGTCTGGAATTGTGCCCGGTATATGGCAATAGGCTCACCCCTATTAAATGGGACTCATAACATAAATAGTGAAAAGTGAGTATTACATTGTACAGTGGCATAATGTGCACCTCTCCCTACCCCTTCGGGGATAAAAGGCGTGATGTTATGTTAAGTCATGTTATTTAAATTACATTGCTATTTGTGGCTACAAAATGCACAGAATATCGAAAAGCTAACCGGGCATTCTCGCTGGCCCATAACGATGCATGGTACAGTAAATTTATGACACCAGTGAATAGCAGTAGTATACAACGGTCTAATTGAAAATTTTACAGACATAATAAGTAGGTATGTTAAAATTTTCAGGGTAAAACCAGAATCAGTCCAAATATAAGACTTTGTTAAGGCGAATAACGATTTAAGGTGTTGATCCTTCATACACCTTTAAATTAAGTCATTAAAATTCATACGTAAGTAATTACAAAATATTACATTTTTATTCATTTCAATTGTTATGATGCAATCGTCGGAACAATATGTAATATGTATAAGTATTTGTTAATATTTTGATCAAATTATTTGATGCTAAAATAGCCATTTTTATTTATTTAGAGTTTGTGAAAGTTAAGTGTAATTAGCTTTAAGCTCGAAACATGAATAAAACGATAGTAAAAACTGCTTTGAGTAAAAAGTAAAATATGTATTATCTTTTACGGACGGTCAATAAATAATTTTAAACAATGAATACGTAACATAACCACTGTAAAATAATTGACTGCAATTTGATATAGACGAATTTGTAATTCTTCTAATTGACAAATAACAACTTATTGCTTACAGCTTAACACCAGGCGCTCAGTATGTTTCACTATTATGATGATATTGCGTAGTTTTAAAGATCTAAGCATACTACATAAGCATAGGGACAGACTGACGGTGGATAACGATTTTGTTTTATACTATGTAGGTAGTGATAACGACAAGAAACCGCAAAAAACACGAGGTACCATTAAAAACCGCTAGGTACCATTAAAACAATTAGATTTATTTGTACCTACGTCATTAAAAATACTTATATTTACAGCAACAAATACCTGAAACTTACATTTTCATCGTATTACCTACTTTATCTTGCAAATAGCCAATCTCGGGTCTACGCGAAAGAGAATCACCATTTTAGGCACTAAAAACAGATTTAACTAATCCTCAAATTTAAGAAAACCGATTTAAAAGCTTTGACTGAATAAAACAATGTCATTAAGGGTGATATTTCTTTGAACTGATGTCTGTTTTAACATTAAATTTTCTTAAGAATATTCAAAGTACAAAATGTTATACACAAACAATATTAAACTTTAGGTAGGGTGTTAGTCTTTAAATAATAATATTGTGTCTTAACAATCAGGGGGGACGGGGGTAGGTAATCCCCAAGGGAAAGAAGTCAGGAAGAGGCACAGAAATACAATGACCCGTCATACTGACTTTTAACTATTTGTAATAATTTTATTATGAACTAGCTTCTGCCCGCGACTTCGTACGCGCAATCCTGTTTATTCCCGTTCCCGTAGGATTTTCAGGATTTTTTCTGTCTTAAGAACCTTCTCCTGACAGTTCTATTGCCAGAATAACAAGCAAAACAAAAAAAAATCCACCAAATCGGTCTAGCCGTTCTTCTTTAATTTTTATTTTATATAGATTACATTAAGCCTATTTCATAATCCTATATCAAGTAGTATTATATTCTAGTACACCCACCTAAGTTCAACTGTTCGCATCCACCCACTAGTACGCGTCCATTTTACGGAAAACTAACTAAATTAAATTAAAACAGATATGTACTAACTGCTCCGAATATGGTGGTAGTTCACATACATGTTTTCGGGATTTTTTAAAGGGCTTTCCGTAACATGGACGTCAACTGGTGAGAAGACGTCAACAGGTAAGTCGACGCGAACAGGGGAAATTACCCTACTTACTTTATCATTTATATTTTTACTAGCTTTTACCCGCGGCTTCACTCTCGTCACAAAATAATAAAAAATAGCCTATGTGACATATACAAATACACACAGCGCCATCTATACCAATACTTTTGTTTTTCCTCGGGAATATCAATTTTTCCGGGTTAAAAGGTACCCTATTATTTAATCCGGACTTCTAACTTTACGTCTGCAAAAATTCAAAGCAATCGGTTTAGTAGTTACGGCGTGAAGGTGGAACAAACAAACAAACAAACTCACTTTCAGATTTATAATATTAGTAAGGAAGTAAGGATATTTGGTTCGTTTAAGCTTTATGTACAATTTTCAATTCATTACACATTGTATCAAAATAATTTAACTCTTAACAAAATAACTACGTAGTTGAGTATTGAATGTTCACTTGCATAGGATTAATTTCGCTCGATTAAAACCGTTATTTATTTACGAGTCGGGATTATACTAGCTAACCAGTGTTTATTTTGTAATGGACAGCCTGTCAATAGCTTTACATATGGAGAACTAACTGTAAAGGTTTTGTTTAATTTTGATAATTAGGGCATGTAAATTGATTATTCACCAATTAACGCTGGAAATAAATAAATGCATAAAAATAGGGTACTTATGAAATTCGACATGTACTTGTAGATGTTATTGGATTTTATAGTATTTTTTTTAATTTATCTATTCTATTCTATACATCTAATAAAATCGTAGAAAAGTGAAAACTGTAGGTACATCGAATATTTTTGTAAAAGAATGCTTTGGGTGTGATCTACAGACTATACCGAAACCAAAATATGGTTTTTAGAATTTTTGTCTGTTTGTCTGAATGTATGTCCGGGATGAATTCAAAAAGTGCTGCATATATTTACTTCAAATTTTGGATGAATATTACTAACAGGTCGGGTCAACATAATAATATAGGCTACATGTTCATGCTATTAACTAAGAGGGAAGCGCTGTAAATTACTATTCCACGCGGACAAAGTCGCGGGGTCAGCTAGTTTATTTATAAATGTATTTATGACATTTTATAGTTTTAAAATGTTTATCAACAACACTGAAAAAGGTCATCTACGTTTCGATTTTAATACGTTCTGTTTGGATGATTTCGAAGCGATGTGATGTTAAGACAGACTTACCTATCCATTCTAAAATATCAATTCTAGTACTAATGTCACTGACGATTAAACAATACATCAATTAAATAATACTAAGAAGGTACAGTATAATTCGTAAATCCACGTATGTATATAGATTTTCTAAGCATAATAACTTAGTAGATAGAAAAAGATAGATAAAATAAGTAAAATTTAATTAAAAGTTATGTACCTACTAACGTAATTGGCAACGAGTAATTTAAAATTATGACATTTTAAATGTTCCGCCGCTCACCAAATTCGTCCTTAAATTTAATGTCTCACAGTTCTAGAGCTAAAGGCTAAAGTACTAAGGCACTAATGGGTGATTTTAAAACAACTATCATAAAATAATTACGCACATTTATTCACAAAATATACCTTTGCTAACGCGGTGTGTATAATAATGATTGCCTTTAGCGTACATTTTATAAAATGATAAACATTGCAAGCGTACCTTGTTGGCCTTTAAATGGTCATTGACGTTAGAATGGCGAAAAATAGGTGAATTTATGGTGTTATTTATACAGCCAAGCACATAGGTCTGTATTACGAATAAGTACTAATATAAAATACTATGATGTTTTGCCCTGGCAGTAAGGGTACCGGAGGCCCAACCTCTCCACCGAAGGTCAGCAAAGCACTTCTAATTCCGCGCAAGTATTTATCATGATTTCCACGCTTGGCAGGGGCTTGTACGTTTTAGTTAAGTCAAATGTTAAGAATATTTTTTCCATATCACGGATTTCACTTCAAGAAAAATCAAAACAGGTCGAGTTGCTAAAGCGATCGTCTTCAAAATCCAGTTCTTGTGGTCTTCTTCGTCATCCGCATTGAGATATTCGAATAGTCTAGAAAATATACTCACGGATATGTTTTTTTTTTAAGGGGGTAAAATCATCGAATTACTGCTCCCGCCTGGGTGAGGCGGGAGGGAGTGTCAGACTCTTACTGACTAAAAACCACCCCGTTCCTTCTCCTGCACGTCGACCCGGAGCCTCGGTTACCCGTTAGTTTCGCGACTCACGGATATGGTAATACAATACTATGACATTTACAATTAAAATCACTTCACATATTGGTTCAATACGCAGGTACTTTGTCTATTAACAAAATTAGTAAAACGTTAAACTATCTGCAGTCGCTATAAATACAAAATAGTAAAAATTAACATACAGTTAACGATGGCTAATTTAGCAGAGTTAGAATGTATTAACCAAATGTTATAATAATTATACTAGGTATCAATTGACATAATTGCAACGTGTTTAGAGTTACTTTATAATTTTGACAGTAATTTTATGAAGTTTTGGTGACATTTACTATACCTTA